CACGATCATGACATTATCGATGGATCATAATTTCATGGTGTTTTTTGGAGTTTATTTTTGGAACCAACCACATGAAGGTGAGCAAATGACAGTGGGTGAACTAATCATGAACCAGTTGAGCTATACATCTCTACATAATTGTACAAAAGGTGCGGTTCTTTGTAAGAATCTGCCTCCAGCAAAGAGTAAAAGGAAGGTTTGTGGTTTGATGTTGTATTTTGGAGTTCTACCTGTCAGACCGGGTTGCTGTTCAGAAAGTTTTACCGTTTTCTGTTTATATGTAAGTGTCACCTGTTCTAAGCAGTATCGAGTGGATAACCACAGAACGTGAAGGCTGTAACAGACATTGCGGTGTTGTCTTTGTGAGAGGTCAGCTTTAGTACTCCTGGGTAGAGTGTTCTGGAAGATATCTATTGGAGAGCAGGAAACAGACGTGACCCACCCACCTGTCAGAGAGCCCCCCCCCGCCTAGCTCTCACACACACACACACACACACTCATACAGACAAACACACAGTAAGCTAGGAGGAAAATATGTCACGCCATTGTTCCAGTAGTTTCCGCCGAGCGGATTGACTCAGCCGCATCTTAGCCCTCTGTATCTGTTCGGTCTTTGGTTATTTATAAAAATAGCTTTCATAAGCGTTAAGGACGTGCTAAACTCCCCAACTCTGGCTCGGGTCCACTGCAGGAAAGTACCATGGTTCTTAGGGTACGGTATTATGTTTATTAGGCATTGTACTTTCATAGCATCCTTTAAAGAACCACAGAGTCGCATTTAAATGCCATGATGATATAAATGCATTTAATCGGCATCACAGTCATGTTTCCTTTAGGCTAGTAGGCTGCGCATGTGCAGGGACGTTCCAGGATAGAAGCAAAAAACACAAATATATGCAATCCATGGACACCATTTCGTCTATTAATGGAGGAATATGAACAATTCAATGCAAACCAAAGAGAAAAATAATGTTTTACAAGCATACAAAAACTAGGTTTTCTCAACAAAACAACTAACAACTAATAACTAGCATCCTGTCATGGTTAACCTGAATATTTGTATTTTTGCAGGGTCTTAAATAGGGGAAGGGCAGTTATATTCTCTAAATGACACTTTGTTGGCTGTTCCTCCTCGGATTAAAAAAGAAATAGCTGTGACATTATTACTCGTAATTGGGATTTTCTAATCTTGCAATTTTTTACTATTGCAGTTTAATAATTGTCAATTGTAACTTAATATGTTTTAATTTTGCAACTTTTTATATATTACAATTTTTATATATGTAACAATTTCCACTGTCACAATTTTGAATTTTAAAATATGAAAAACTCAACTACATATAACAATTGCGACTTTATGTCAACTGCAAATATATTTCACAAATTTAACTATATCAATTGCAACTTTATACTGTTACAGCTGCGACTTTGTTACAATTCCGACTTTTTATATATCACAATTTCAATTATATGTTACAATTTCAACAGTCACAATTGCGACATTTTATGTGTAACAATTGCGACTGTCACAATTACGAATTTTAATATATCAAAAGTTCAACTATATGTAACAATTGCGACTATATTTTACAAGTGTGACTGTCAAAATTGCAACATTTTACATATGACAATTTAAATTGTGTAACAATTGCGACTTTGTCACAATTGCTAATTTTAATTTATCAAAAGTTCAACTATATGTAACGATTGCGACTATATGTTACAAGTGTGACTGTCAAAATTGCGACATTTTATATATCACAATTTAAACTGTAACAATTACGATTGTCACAATTAGGAATTTTAATATATCAAAAGTTAAACTATATGCAATGATTTTGACTATATGTTACAAGTGTGACTGTCAAAATTGCGACATTTTATATACTGTGTAACAATTGCAACTTTGTCACAATTACGAATTTTAATATATCAAAATTTCAACTATATGTAACGATTTGCGACTATGTTACAAGTGTGACTGTCAAAATTGCGACATTTAATACATCACAATTTAAACTGTAACAATTGCGACTGTCACAATTAGGAATTTTAATATCAAAATTTCAACTATATGTAACAATTATAATTACAACATTTCAACTACATATAACAATTGTGACTTTGTCAACTGCAAATTTCAAAATTGTGACCTTTTTATTTCACAGTTTCAACTATATGTAACAATTGCAACTTTATACTGTTACAGCTGTGACTTTGTCACAATTATGACTTTTTATATATCATAATTTAAATTATATGTTACATTTTCGACAGTCACAATTGCGACATTTTATGTGTAACAATTGCGACTGTCGCAATTACGAATTTTAAAATTTCAACTATATGTAACGATTTGCGACTATGTTACAAGTGTGACTGTCACAATTGCGACATTTTATACATCACAATTTAAACTGTAACAATTGCGACTTTGTCACAATTATGAATTTTAATATCAAAATTTTAACTATATGTAACAGTTCAACTATAAATTTCACAACTGCGACTTTGTAACAATTACTTTATATCTCACAATTGCAACTTTTTATATTTCACTAGTTACATTTTCAACTTGACACATCACAATTGTGATTGACTATATTTCTCGAATGCATTTGTTGTTCATTGCGAATTTGTCTCACAATGTAACTTAAAATCTAACAAAGGTGACTTTATTTCTTGCAATGCGACTATATTTCTCTTAATGATAAACACAGCAGATGTTCTGAGACAATCTGCCGTGGGCCAGAATCACGCCTGACATCTGTCTTGATGAGAACACACCTCATGATCTTGGAAAGAAGAGCTCAGTTCGAGAACTCGTTCAACATTAAACACACCCAGGAGACTGTGATCCATCTTTGAGGGATTTGGAGGATGGATTATCCTTTATCATTGCTTTAATAATTCTGACATTATGAACTCATCATAGCTAAAGCTTCATCATAATACAAAAACAGGGGGAGATTCCAGAAGAGCTCCTGCATCATTCCTGAACTCAGTGCAGGTTAATATGTCTCTTAAACACCTGTGTTCTGTGTTGTTGTCACTGACCAGGCCAAAGTCTCTGCACTTTTTGGCAGACTTCAAGTCCATGCAAACAGTCAGTCGGTCAGTGTCTGGCTCGGTCTGGAGACGGCTTTCAGGAATTCTTTTGAAGTCGAGCAGTGACCGTGTGTTCATGCGTCGGCTCTGACCAATGCAGTGGAATGTGATGGGGTTTTTTAAGCTGGAAAGGTTGTGAGAATGACCCGTGTGCTGTAGCTATTGTCACATGGGCATTACAAATACCAGATACTTCACATTTCATATCAGTAAAGTCAAAGATAACCAAATGGAAACTGCTTTAGCACTTGATAAGCTTGGCATTTATTAGTGGTACTATTTGCATGGCTATTATTATAGCTATATTACAGCTTATAGTGTGGAATTTGAACAAACCACTAAGTTATAAACTTCAGCTTGACAATGAAATGGTAAAAATAATGACACTGAAGGAAAGTCCCTTGTGCACTTAATTGTATTGAATGTTCACTTTTAGTATTAAACACTGCACTTGCAAATAATATAATATTAATAAAATGAAAGGCCACTTACCTTTAGAGGAGAGAAGTTCACGAGTTACAATTTATTTAATGGTGTTGTTGTTATATGATTAGCAATAATAATTAACAACATGTACCTACTATAGGATAAGGATGAGCTTGGTTTGTGTTTAGTTGCTTGTTGTTATGCATAATTTACTGTTATTAATAAGTTCATGCAGTAAGGACAATGTAAAATAAAGTCTTACCACTGTTTCTTATAAAAGTGAATTTTGTAATAATGTTGAATTAAAAAAGTCAAAGTTTCACTTTAAAGTACATGTTGAATCATTGTTTTAATATTATTTTGTCATGCTTTTATGTGTTTTATGTGTAACTAACTAATTTTAACCATGGCGTGTTATTCAATATCATTTGAAGTTAATTTGTACACTAAACTGCAACTTCATCATTACAAGTGTGTTATTGACATACAAGTTTCAATAAGATGACATTAAAGTATATTTCAGTGTGTCATTGTTAAAGCTACACTGTTTAACTCTTTTAGTTTATTCTTAGCTAAAAACACTTAGGTCTTTCAAAAATATATGTGCTCATTAATGTATATTTACTTCATTCAAGTAATAAAGTATTCTCGTGAGTGTATAATATGCCATTGAAAATACATACGGGTAAGGGGTTCTAATGTCGGTCGCCATGTTGCCCCTCCATCTTGAAAGTACATTAGCCAAAGAGGGACATACCCGTTAATTCAAACTTCGCCTTTCGCGTTTACGTTTGAGTTAACACTCATGGACGAGGTCGAACTGGAAGCCATGTTAATCTTGGACTACATTGGCCACCGTAGGAGTTAAAACGAAATCGAAATTGAGAGGAACAGAAACTAATATTCACTAGATGGTCATATACCTTTTCACGGGGGTAAAAATCACACAGTGTAGCATTTAAGTTGTTTCAAACCTGTATGAGTTTCTTTCTTCTGCTGCACATAGGAAGATATTTTGAAGAACGTCGGTAACCAAAAAAATACAATGGATGTCAATAGAGTCCATCAACTGTCTGGTTACTGACATTCTTCAAAATATCTTCTTTTGTGTTCAGCAGAAGAAAGAAACTGATACAGGTTTGAAACAACTTGAGGGTGAGTAAACGATATGACACTTTTCATTTTTAAGTGAACTATCCCTGAGTGTGTCAAAAAACAGTCTTAAGTCGAACTAAATTGCATTTAATATAATTTTAACTATAACACATTTGCTATAGCAACATGCTAAATGCTGAATAGCAACGTGCTAAATGCTAAATAGCAACATGCTAAAAACACCCAGTATCCTAGCATTGTGTCAGTAACCTTTAAATGGAAAAGCACTTTCTTTCTTTAGAGTAGAAAAATGTAAAAATCTAGCCTGATGTAAAAAGACTAATGTAAGGACTTTTTTTTCTTCTTTGAAGAACTGTGGTGTGGAGACTGATAACTTGAAGACTCTGACAGGTCAGATGCGTGCAGCGTCCAATAACTTGCACAACTGTGCGTCAGAACGGAGGAAAAATCCTTCTTATGATGGAGTAAGTCCAAACAAACCACCTAACGTGTTCCTCACCGCTGTGGTGGAGCTGATAGCGGCTGCCAAGGGCATGCTGGGCTGGCTTGACAGGTATGTGAGATTTACACACATACACACACACGTTAAAAGAAATTGTACTCACTTTAGGAAAAGTGCAAATTTAAGTGAAACCACAACCAAAATATATGTTTAGAAAGCATTTTACAACATATTCAGAACAACAATTTGCTAGGTTGCCACCGTATTTTCTTATTAGCTATCAATTGTAGTAACTGCAAAATAACTTCATGGTCATTTTTACTGGCAGCGGTCTCAGCATTTATTGCTTTGGCTTTGTGCTCCAGTCAAAACACCTTCAGTCGTTGTTCCTCGTGACGTCACACAGAGTGCCGGCATTCAGACGCACACGTACATATATACCGCACTGCATGTTTGGGCTTGAAACGACACGTACCAGAATTCAGTAACATTTGATCACTTCTGTTGTCTTTGTGTGCAGGACCCCCCTCACGGGAATCAGTGATTTCACCTCCACCAAGAACAAGATCATTCAGCTCTGTCTGGAGCTGACCACAACTGTCCAGAAGGTGTGTTAATGACCGTTCATCTCCTAGTCAAAGCTCTGCAGGCTTTCTAATGGTCACACGCCATTTCCCAAGTTTGCATTAAACCAGTGAAAAGTATCCAAAACATTATTAATGTTACATATTATAATTACTGTATGCATTTATTTTAGAATTATTTTGTATAATTGAATTATTCGGTCTTAATCGAGTGCAGAATTTATTTATTTATTTTCAAATTCTTTTATTTTTTTAATATTGTGTAAACAGTCAATTTAATACACATTTTTCCAGGGTCATCGTCGTTAACTAAAACTACAACCATAAGAAAAAAAACATTTTATTTCAGCCTTTTCAACATTTTTCATTTTCAATTTAGTGTTTTTCATTGTTTAAGCAGTAAAACAAAAAACTAAATGAACCAAAACTAATAAAAAAAATGGATAAATGCTATATTGAAAACGACAAAACACAGCAAAATTGCTAAAACTTTATTTAAAACATTCTTAAAACGGAAAATATGTATAAAGAAATGTAATTCAAAATATTAACAAACCTTTAATAGTATGTCAATGATACTAAAATACTGCTTTATAAATTAATTTATGTATATCACATCAGCGTTAGATTTTTTTTCTGCATCAAACTTTAAATAAAAGTTAAGAAATTCTTAGTATTTTTAACAGGGTCATGACATGGGGGGGGGGGGGGGGGGGGGGGTTGAAAAAAAATATATATACGTATTTTTAAGGTGCTGCTCCTTTAAGGCTTGTCACTAAACGTCCACGGTTATGATTGGCTAAAGTCATTGCATAAGAAACAGTGTCAACGCCCACTATTGCACGCTAGTAAGTGTTTTAAAAACATTATCCATATAAAAGCGTCATTTACAGACAAAGCATTATGAAATAATTTAAGATTGTGATGCAGTTGCTGTCCAGTCCAATACAGCTGGATGCTTTAACACAAGTTTAACAAATGCCAGTGGGCGGGGCCTATGGTGCGACGATGCAAAACCATTCGTTAATGTCTTGCTCTGGAGGCGGGAATATGCAAATCTATCTGCCAGTGTGATGTCACAGGTCACCCAATATCAAAACAAGCTATTTTGGAGCTTGATTAAATAAATGCTTTGTTTATAATCAGGGCATTTTAAGCTATAAAACTTGCAGGATGTTTAATGATACAAATAGTGTCTTAAGGTATGTCTTTAAGAGCTCTTTACACACAGATGTGTCCTGAAGCACAGAGAAACATATGGTTTTACTGAGACTGTCTCAGTGGGGATGGGCGGCTCATGACTGTGATCGATGTCTCGGCTCTGTTTTTGCTCTTCATAGTCTCACAGCTCTCAAGCGCCGCGATCCAAACTCTGCAGCAATTATCCCGTCAAACTTGTCTTTAAACCGTAATTAAACACAGGCGACAGACCCTTCTCCACCTATCCGTCAGCACATTCCAGATTTCGGATCCTTATATTACATTTCTTAAATACTTTCTTTGGTATTTTGATTTCATGTTTACCAGTCCATGTTTTCCTGTGGGAACTCAACATAATGTGGTGTCTCATGCGAATCCTCCATTTTTAATTGCAGGATTGCACAGTGTTTGAAATGGAGGAGAAGATATTAGAAGTGGTAAGTAGAAAGTCTTGCCGTCCGACGTTTTACACGCGGTGCACTTATGAATTCCCCAAAGTTCTCTCGGTCGGGGTCAGAGATTCAGCTGTTATCTGTGATCCATTCGGGTTCATTGTAAGTGTGGAGATGTTTTCTGGAGCATCCTGTGTATAACAGTATCTTCATCAAAGGAATGTTCTGGATGCAATACAATAATTTGGACTGTTTAGTAAAAACTAGCATTAATTTCATGTGCACTTGAAGTCTATGGGGTAAGGCATTGCACTTAGAAATAATATTAGCAATACTTAATTTTATTCTTTTGGGATTTGACTGGATGGGATTTGATAAGTTAAGATTTTTGGTTCATCTCAGATGTCCTTGGCCAATGAAAGCTGCGATGGCTCCAAGACTGTATTCAAAATCGCTCCCTATACCCTCGTTCACTATTCCCCACATTACTCCACTAACATAGTCCACTTGAAGGAGTGAATGAAAACGAGTAAGTGAATTCGGACACTGTGTTTCCCAGAAGCGTTCAAAATCATTTGAAGCTTAGCAAACTAGCAGCTCCAGAAGCAATGAAACGATTTATCTCGAACTCTGTCATGGTAAATGTTTAAAACCTTAATTAAACAATTTAATAATCAATCAAAAAGCGATTTATACCAGTATGATATTACGCTGTACCCACATTGGACCAGTGGTTTGGAAAATGGATGGATGATTCAGCTGCAGGCGCCATCTTCTGATCAGATGCGGGAATTCATTCAGCATGACCCTCACAGTATTCTCTAGTTGTACACTCTTTATTAAAGTGCATTATGGGATTTAATGAGTGCACTCGATAATGTCCACTATGGTTTTGAATGCCACTACAAAATGGCTGTCGCTTCAAATAGTGCCCTATTTAAAGGGGTGGTATCAAGCGTGCCGCACAAGCCCTCAAATATGAAGCCAAAACGTCTCGATCGCCCCCCTGTGACCGGTCCTAGTATAGCTCATAAACCCCGCCTCCCCATGTTATTCAATGGGACGTGAGACCAACTAAACAATTGAATTACACTTCACATATCCTTTATCCAAAGATAGTTTCTGTCATTTACAGTAGTTTCTATCACGTTGATGTAATTTTAAGTGTTTGTTTTTAGTTAGTTATTTGATGCTATAAAAGGTTCTCTATGCAAAGTACTTTGTAGTCACTGAATTACCAGCAGCCTTTTTTTCATAATGTGGTGAAAATTATGTGGTTAGTAGTTGTATTTACCTTATTTTAACGAGGTACTGCAATCAGCAGACATCATTGGAGAAGAACGGAGCACACAGAGGCCACTTAATAAAAGTGCGGGGCATGTGCTTGCGTTTGATTCAGCGAGAATGAGGGCGCGGCCTTGATTTCGCGGCTTTACTTCCTGCTCACGACTGCGCATGACTGGTCCTGAAAACGCAAGTGCGCAGACTCAAGTTCCAAGATGTCAGCGTCATATCGGGACATTGGCGGCTTCAGTTCTTTCTGATAGAAAAGAGCAAAGTGGCGTCGTCCATCTTTTTTTACAGTCTATAGGTGGTATAATGCCATTTTCACAAGGTGTAAAATAAATCTCTGATGTCCCCAGTGTGTATATGTGAAGTTTTAGCTCAAAATAGCCCATAGAGATTTTTATACAGCATATTAAAGTTATAGAACTGTTTTGTGTCTGGCCCTTTAAATGCAAATGAGCTACAGCTCCCGACACAGTGGGCGGAGCTTCAAGAGCCTCATTACCTCACGCAGACACAGGCTAAAATATCAGAAACTGTTCTGCCTTTTATGTTTAAACCGGAGTCAGACAAAGATGGAGAGACAAAGAAGAATTGACAACATGTAGAATGCAACAGGACATCTCTGAATGGTTAGTTGATGAATTTATGTTGCTGATGTGGAGTCTAATCTCCAATTAGCATATTCTGTCAGGATAATCTATAAATCGCTTTTAAAATTTGAGCTGACTCACAAATGTGCTCGACTACAACAGCTCTTCCTCTTCTCAACATGGACTGCGTGTTCCCGGGGTTGGGGTGTATGTAAATTTAGGGTTAGTGATGTCACTAACCCGGGAGGAAGCTTGTGTAGTTCCTACCAGCCGTTTGTTGTAGTCCTTACAAAACGATTTCTTTAAAAGCAAATATCTCCCTTTGAACTTATGCCCAAACAGCAACATTACACACTAACTAAAGTTAGAAAAGTGAAAACACAATCAACCACCCCTTTAAGGGTATAGGGGGCGATTTCAGACACAGCCCAGATCTTCTGCCGTCAGTCTGAAGCTACACGAGACAAAATATGTATGAAGCAACTTCAAATTGTGCATATTACATAAGCATATGAGTTCTGGATTAGTTATAATAAACAAACGGTGGATTCTAAGTACCACGACATTGTTCTTTCTGTTTACTTAAGGCACGGGTTTTGACTGGCATTTGCGACTCCACCATGAGAGTTACCTCTGACCCCTTGAAGACTCACATGACCTGTTTGGAGGAAGTCCCCATCCCCAATATCAAACCAGGCGAGGGTCTGGTGAGTGTCAACACTTTCTGCACACGACTCGCTGGTATTGTTGTGCTCGTTGTGTAACAACTGAATGTTATTTGCTTATTCTGTGAAGGGGATGTATATCAAATCCACTTACGATGGACTTCACATCATCACCGGAACCACGGAAAATGTGAGCCGAGCTTCTTTAATTCACTATTTACACTATTGCATCGATGTCCAGCATTATTCACAACACTTCAGTGTCTAATGGATTGCCAAGAACCATAAAATACTTCAATACTTCAATTGATTAGTAATGTCTGTCTCTGTTTCACTCCTCAGTCTCCAGCAGACCGAACTCAGCGGATTCATGCAGGCGATGAGGTGATACAAGTCAACAGACAAACAGTGGTGAGCCCATCCGTCTGTCACATGATAGCGAGGGGGGTTATGGGTAATTAATCTGCTCTAAAAGAGTGAAAGGAAGCAAGATGGCGAGCTTTTTGTGTTGGACTGAGTAAACCCGATCCATGTGAGAGAGAGATATGTCAGTGCTGAAAAGCTGTATTGTTATGGACTCCTTTATCATTGTTTTGGATCAGAGCTGTTTTTTATGCACCTCATATTTACTGTACAGTGAAAGCACTGGTGCCGAACCGTTTGTGTTTGTACAGCATAAAGCCATTCAGACTGCATTTGTTCAGCTACAGTAGGATCAACTTTCCCCCATTTAGGGTCATTTATGTCTAGGTTTGATTTCAAGTTCAACCTTGTGAAAAAGATGTGCACTTCATTGTATTTAATGTGCCCTTGTACTTCAGATCTTAGAAGTATAGTTTTAAACACTGTACTTTCAGGTAATATAATATTAATGAAATAAATTCCCACTGAAGTAAACTTAGAGTACACATTCATGATGACTATGTTTCTTAACACACTTAAGTATTCTCTTAAAACATGTATCACTTAATCTTTTGTCTGGTTTTAAAGAACTACATATTTTAATAACTACTTAATATTGTAATAACTACACCCCCTGCTGGTGAGATCGACTAACTGCAGATGGAGATTAATCTCGGCAATCTACTGCTTTTCCTGAAGTTACTGGATGTCAGTGTTGAATTCCTTGAAGCGAATTTGCAAAGCGACATAAAATAGACCGAACATTGCCTGTTGAATATTATAGGTTGTATTTTTAAACAGTTTGAATATTTCGGAAGTGAAATATGAAAGGTGAATATGGATTATAGAATTTTTAATAATGAAAATGTGTTTGAAATGTTTTGAATTGAAATATTCACAGCTTATATATTCAACCATGCTGAATTTCAGCCCATAAAAATGCACGCCCTAAAAATACAATGCATTAAAATGCAAGCTTGTTTTTTTATAATAGTGCTGGGCAACGATTAATCGTGATTAATCACATCCAAAAGTTTGTGTTTACGTAATACATACAATACATGTGTGTATTGCGTATAATTATTTTGTATATAAATACACGCACATGCATGTATATATTTAAGAAATATGTGCATGTATATGTATACAAAATATTAATATTAATAATAAATATTTTAATATTTTATATATAAATAATAATTTTTTCTTAAATATGTACATGCATGTGTGTGTATTTATATATACAAAATAATTATAGTACAAACACATGTATTATGCAAATGCAAACTTTTATTTTGGATGTGATTAATCACGATTAATCGTTGCCCAACACTAATTTACCATTTAAATAATATATCATTTATTTATTGCACTAATGAAAATGCATTACGGTAATGAGAAATCTGCGCAATAAATATGAACGTCATTCCCCAATGCAAATAAATCTAATACTGGATTTACTGGTACTGGAAATAAGATTCATTTTCATTAAGTGAAATATCATTTCTTATTCATATTGATTCTGGGGTGAAATATGACCTGGAGATGTTTTTGACAGGTTTTGTGAGAGTAAACTGATGTACTCCTGTAACTTCTTCTCAGGTGGGCTGGCATTTGAAGAGTCTGGTGGAGAAGCTCAGGGAAGATCCTCTGAATGTGACACTGATGGTGAAGAAAAGGCCGTCAGGCACCTGTGGCTTCACCCCCGCACCACTGAAGAACATGCGCTGGAGACCCCCTGCCGTCCAGGTACTGCCCTCGCTCTCCTATAGATCGCTGTTTCTGTTTAGATTCGGCCTGGAAACGTCAGGATTGTTAAAAAAGTAGTCTTTTTTCATGGATCTGAGTTTTTTGTAGTTACTTTGAGTAATCCAAAATCAGTTTGATGCTGTTTTTAATGCTTTAGTCAATTGCAAATTACACACATTATTAAAGCTAGAGTGTGAAGCTAGCAATAGCAAGCTAGCTTTGAAAGCATACGATACTGATTACTATTTTACTTTTTTTTTTTCAAATAAATACAAGTGAGCATACTGTAAGAGAGAAAAAGATTTAAAAAATGTTACCTGAACCCAAACTTTTGAACTCTTTTGAAACCTTTTGATAATAGCCTGTGAGGTATTTTGCAGTGTTTCTGTGTTTTTCACATTTGCACAAACTCCATGAACTTTCATTGTTTCAACATGAGTGGATGGGTTTGTATGGGTGTTGCAGGACTAAAACAATGAAACGCTTCTTCCTCTCCACATACACATTAACTTGCCTCTGAAAATGCATGTAGATTTCACAGATCTTTCACAGCTGACTTGTGTTGATTATCAGTTCAGATTGCTGGACCAGCAGCAGGGTTTCACATCAGGATGTGTGTTTCCACTTGATTAAACTCCCGGTCCAAATGTCACGCAGCCATTGATTTTAGAAATACTGTAGCTAATATTAGTCCATATGGACTCTCTCAAACCCCTCGCCATTCTTTTTAAAGGTCAGACCGTAGACTACAGCTCAAGAAAAGCGATTTCCATTTGATGAAAAAACGTTAATGTAAAAATCCATGAGAAATAGTTTATGTATTAGTGTTTTTTGTGTGTAAAATGGAGATTGCGATTATCCCACGATTCTGAATAAAAATAACAAACAAAATAACTTGCAAACTAGAGGTTCTGACAGGTGGTTCATTGCTTTAGTAAATTTAGCAAATATATACATTTGAACGAAATAATTTTTTTACAAAAAAAGTCATAAAAACTTGTTTTGTTATTGGATGAATCAGTATTTGTGAATAAATCTTTAAAATTAATGATTCAATGACAACTTTTTTTAAACCGCCACCTCTTGGCGCAACATTAAGCATTATAATATATACAGTGGTGTGAATAAGTTTTGACCCCCATGCTAAAGTTGCCTAAAACGAGGAAAAAAAATTATCTTATTATTATTGATCTTAATGCCTTAATTAGAAAAATGTGAAAAACTCCAACCTTTAAGGGAACCAATTTTCTTTGTGAATGAATAATGTCTCATAAATAAATAAATGTTTTTCCTTAAAATACAGGGTGCATAAGTCAGGGCACCCCTATGTTAAATTCCCATAGCAGATTTTTATTTTTAAAAGCCAGTTATTTCATGGATCCAGGATAATATGCATCCTGATAAAGTTCCCTTGGCCTTTGGAAATAAAATATCCCCACATCATCACACACCATTCACCACACCTAGAGATTGGCATAGGGTCTTTTCCATAAGATCATCTTTCAATGCAAATCAAACCAGCTATTAGGCTAACTGAAGTAAAACCATGCCAATTTCTAGGCATGGTGAATAGTGTGTGATGATGTAGGGATATTTTAATTCCAAAGGCCAAGGGAACTTTATCAGGATGCATATTATCCTGGATCCATGAAATAACTGGCTTTTAAAAATAAAAATCTGCCTGACTCTATGGGCATTTCACATAGGGGTGTCCTGACTTATGCACCCTGTATTTTAAGAAAAAACATTTATTTATTTATTTATGATACATTTTTCATTCACAAAGAAAATTTGTGTCCTTAAAGGTTGGAGTTTTCCTCATTTTTCTAATTAAGGCATTAAGATCAATATCCAAAAGATGATTTTTTTATTCCTCTTTTTAGGCAACTTTAGCATGGGGGTCAAAACTTATTCACACCCACTGTACAAGTGTCAAAATACTTTCAAATCATGATTTAATTTTATCCCCTGTTATTTAAATCTTTGTAACACATAAGAAAGTGTAAAAATCTAGTTTACAAAATATACCTTTTAATTAATGAAAGGCCTGCTTGCCCTCAAATGTTCTTTTCAATATCTGTAAATATAATTTATATAATTCATAAGGGAACTTATTAAGTATAAAGACTATCACCGGTTAATTAAGTCAACAAAAAGCAGGGCCTTGAGATGAAGAAAAAAATCACTACAAAGTATGTTATTGTAGTGATTTGGTGTTGAGATCAAAGGTCGAAGGATTAACATGAAAATGATGCAACTGTTACTCTCATTAAAAAGATTATGTAAGATGTAATTTAGCAAGGGTTTCTTCACATATTATCAGATGCAAACATATTTTAAACATGGCAAGATGAGTGATTAATACTTTGTTTGTTTCAGAGCCCATCGTATGCGCCGGCCGCCCAGTCATCCAGAAATCCTGTGCAAATCTCCATCAAGCGGCCGGAGAAATCTGCAATTTTAGATCTCTATATTCCTCCTCCTCCTTCCATGCCATACAGCCCACGGTCAGTATTTGTTTCTCTGATAACGTATCGCCATCATATTAAATCAATAACTCTGTGGCTCTGTACTTCCTGCTTTCTTAGGCATAATAAGCACTACAAATTATGCATTCTTGATTCAAAGATCTTGCTGAATTTTTTTATAGAAAAGGTACATCGCCATCAAACTCCAACCTAACGGTCTTGAACGCATCTTCACAACTCTTACATACGAACTTGAATGCACCATAAGCTCAAATAAGCACAGAAATGCATAGTGAACATGCATGTACTTATTTTTATGAACTTTTTACCTATACTTCATCCACGATTGTTAACACTATAATGCTTCTTTGTCTCCGTATGTCTGTAGAGATGCAGAGACGAGTGAAAGTGCAGGTGTGAAGATGAGACCAAAAGGTTCAGAGTCGCCCAACTCCTCTCTGGATTTAGCTGGTAGACGGCGTTCAAATGCCAGCGACTACACCAGCAAACCTAGCGTGAATCCAGCTGAGGTCATCATCCCACAAGCAAGACTGAGACAGCGGACTCCCTCTAGAGGTCAGAACCTGTTTAACAAACAGTACTTTATTTTTGTGACATTTCCAAACTATTGTCACATGATTGTTCACCCAAAAATAGAGAAAATAAGCCTCACCCTGAAGACTATATGACTCTTCTTTCAGCCAAACACAATCAGAGTTATATTAAAAAATATCCATGCTCTTCCAATCTTTATAATGGGAGTAAGTCGAGTTTTTGAAGCCCAAAATAGCACATCCATCCATCATAAAAGTAATCCATACGGCTCCGGGCGTTTATAAAGGCTTTAGTTTAGGTCAGAGGTCACTCTGTGAAGCAGTGATTATAGTTTATAAAGTTATAAATATGGATATTTTTATTACAAATCCCATGGCTTCGCGTCACAAGGCCTGTATTATCCCCCTGGAGCCATATGGAGCACTTTTATGATGGATGGATGTGCTATTTTTGGCTTTAAAAACTCTACTTACGCCCATTATAAAGCTTGGAAGAGCCTGGATATTTTTTTTTAATATAACTCCGATTGTGTTTGGCTAAAAGAAGAGAGTCATATATACCTAGGATGGCTTGAGGGTGAGTAAAATATGGGATCATTTTCATTTTGGGGGAAAAAAACCCTTTAAGGCTTTTTTCTTTTTGCGTATCCAAACATGTAGTCTGAACAGCAAAAAAAATAAAAAGTAATGACCCCAATGCAAACCAAATTATATTCCAGATGACAAGTTTAGTCCAGCTCATTATATGAATGGTAAAAAAAAAAAAACCTAGGCTATCAAAATCAGTCTGACAGTTTAATCTAATTCATGGATAAATGACTCATATGTGCCAGTTCTGTTAATAAATAAAGGACTCACAAAATTAGAATCAGTCTGATGAATCATTCACTGAATCAACAAGACTCACTTAACTACAGTTATCCATCTGAATTACACAATTTGTTAGTAAAAATTAAAATAACTATGACAACAAGGACTCAATTAGACTGATTCTGTCTTTGTGCTTCAGGAAAGCCACGTCCCATGTCCATGCCGGTAGACACTTGCCTGGGCGCGTTGGACTCTCCCTCCAGACCCTGGGCTCTTGGAAGGAAAGGTAAGCGCAACACCTGCCTGGGTGTAAACTACAACTGAAGCGCGTTAATCTCCAGCTGTCAGCGTAAACATTTCACAAGCACAATTACATGGGCAGGAGCAGACAAAGGTCAGATAACACTGTAATATTTGCGTTTTGGTCTCTGTAAGTACTGTAGCTCAAGAGGTAATATCTCTATACCCATAGATAGTTCATTTGGGTCAGACATCGGTAAACTTTTGGGATGTTTTTGCCGATTAGAAATACATGCAGAGTTTTTTTCCTGTTGTACTGAAGTCATAGTGGTCATGCGGCTTCATGAATTTTATTTTACATTGTTGCAAAGTTTGCGACTGTTACACTTAAAAGTATACTTTTATACATTAAAAGTGGACCAAATTAGTCCCAAGTAGTATTGAAACAGTAGACTTACAAGTACATACTAGTACATTGATAATAATATACTTACTACATAAAGTATACTTAAAAAATATATACTAGCTTTGGAACAATCTACATTGTTAAAAGCGCTATATAAATGAAGATGACTTGACCTGTACATAAGTATACTCAATAAAATTAACTTGAGGTATACTTACTTTTTCACGAGCACTTATGCATGTGCAGGAACAGACATAAAGTACAAAAGTAACAACACATTACTAATATAAATATAAGCTGTTATAAATATAAGTAATATAAGCTGTTATGTTAATAGATCTTTTGTGTGGCATACATAGCTCTAAGTAGTTAGAATATAGTAATATCCTTAAAGTGTTTTTAAAAGAAAATGAAGGCATATGTTATTATATAAGATATGATGTTGAATGCATTACTGTTAAACACTTGCACAAAAGAATTATGTGAAAATTAAAAAACACACACGCATACAAGGTCTGGAAGAGAGTGAGAGAGAAAAAGTAAAGCAAAAGTAGCGTAACAGTACAAAAGTAATGTAACTAGTTACTTTTTTAGGGAGTAATGCAATATTGTAACTTTTAAAAGTAACTTTCCCCAAATCTGAAGGCTTTCCTCTATAGGGGCTTTCGCAGCGGAGGAACCTTTTCATAGTTCCTAGAACTATTGGCAGAAGTTCCCGTCTTTGGCGTGTTCGCACCGCAGGAACTGGGAACTATTGACGCTTTTCCATTACCAGTACCAGCTCGACTTGACTCGGCTCGGCTCGCTTTTCGCACCGTTCCATTGCAGACAGTACCGCCACAAATAGTACTCGGTGGTCATAGCGACGCCTTTCGTTCCTCGTTGCCCTATCAAGCTCTCGCTGGATCCTCTCTTTGGCCACCAAACAAAGGAAAGTCTGCACCTCCTCGTTTGACCACGGCGTATTCTTCCGAGTTGCCATAATAGTAATAATAGTAGTAAGTTTAGTAACTATCTCTAGCCAAACTACAAACATGGCGGGGTTATTCTGGATACTCCATCTGGCACGTGCAATGATGACACACTGAATGGTGACGATTCTCTCTGACCAATCAGCAGTCGGCATTGTTTTCACGTCACATTTTAGTACCGGCTCAGCTCGCCTTAGCTCGCTCAGAACCTTGCCGGGGGTGATTCTAAAAAAATAGGTACAACTTTTACACAGTGTAAAACCACTGTGGAAAACAACAAATGCAAGCCGAGTCGAGCTGGTACTGTGTAGTTGAAAAGCGCCATAATTTAGTTCTATGAACTACTTTAGAGGAACTAATTGAGCTCCTACTTCAGAGTAGGGTCTAACCCAGGACTATAGGAACTATCCGTGACGTTAGTGTACGCTGATTGGCCGAACGCACGCAAAACACCAGCACCCGCCATTTTTTCAAAAACAGTATGAACACCGATTATATTTATTTACCCCAGGAACTAACTCTATGAACCTGGAAAACAGTGATAGATGGACCTCTTAACCTTTACGCTGCGGAGAAAATCCAACGCAACTTTGAGGGGACCAAGCCAAACATGCTCAGCTAGCAACACTGGACATCAACCACACGGCATACGCTAATATCTTTTCATACTGTCTAATTTCTGAGAATGTTGTGCTTGGTATGTTTTTCATCCTCAAACCAAACTTAGGTCTTGAGTTTAAATCACGTCGGGGTTGTGCACTTCCCATAATGTTTACACGTTAGCTCAGTAGGCGGAGAGTAGGCGGTGTTTTCTGGCTGTTCGAACGGATTTGACCACAAGAGCGTTTACAAAAGCAATGTGTTTTCAGCTACCTCTGGAAGTGGTCGAAAGCGAACAATTAAAGGGATACTTCACCTCTGGAAAGATGAATGTGTATTTAAAATGGGTCATTTATGTAGAAGAAATGTGAAATTATTTTTGAATTTGGAGCTCTCTAGACTGAGGAAAGCCAGAAAGTGTATTTTTGGCTTATGTAGATGAAAGACAACAACTCCCAGAATGCACTTGCATCGCTGCCCTAGGAGGCCACGCCTACCGGTGACAGAGCGCAGTCGTTAAACAACAAGTTTAGGCTACTAGTGAGTCTCCGTGATGAGTCTGCCTGAAAATGTGTTTCGAGATCGGCCAAAATGTCCGGGATTCGGCTTTTGCGTTTTATAGTCGCCATTCGTTATGTTTACTGTGGCGAGCAGGACGAGTGAGGGCCGCGGGAGAACGGCGCGAAGCCGGTGGCGTGATTACCGATGAGCGACACCTCGTCTCGTATCTCTCACGGAGGAACGGGAATTTTCTTAGCAATGTTAAAACGCACATCAACCGATCACTAGTTTAGCGTTCATGTAAACACTACATTCAGATTCACCAATCGGAATGAATTCAGTGAGATTGAAACAAAAGCTGTACATGTAAACATTGAATGGCGACTGCAGAAAGCAAAAGCTGAATCCCGGACATCGACAGCCGGAAAAAGAGGATGGTAACCCCTACTACTCGGCTTTCTCCACAGAACAAGAGCCAGCTGGCTTAGCTTCCAAAAAAAGATGGCCGACACTATGTGTTCATTCTGCAGACTGATCTCATGAAGTAGCGTGTTTGACACGCCAATTCGTATTTCCATTTTTGCCGTGCTATCAAGACGCATAATCGCCTTTCAGCGTATTTATGAACGCCATTGACTTAACGTTATATAAATATATGACTTACCTCAACCCCGTACCTAAACCTAACCGTCACTGGGGTTAATGACATTTATGACTGTTCCCTTACCATCCTAGGTAAAAAAAAGATATGACTTACCTCAACCCCATCCCTAAACTTAACCGTCACTGGGGTTAATGGCATTTATGACTGGAGATTTGACTGCGTGTACAGACACGCGGAATGACGCGGACGTTAATGGCGTAGACATACACGCATACAAGCGGATACACGCAGATAGTTCAAAATGCGTAGAGATAACACGCCACCTGACTCGAAAGTGGCGTGTATGTTTACGCAAAAGTCATGATGTCATGTTGCATTCTGTGAGTGAGATCGCCCTCTATGGGCGGGTTGAGAACATGCGGGACAGACCCTACTACTGACTGTAGTCTTTAGCCTCTGGCCAAAAAATCCTCAGATGACGCAAAATGACGATTTTTGCGTCATCTGAGGATTTTTTTCAGACAAAAAATACATAAATCTCTCGTCTCATGGGGAAATGAGGGAGGAAAGCATGCTAATTAGAAAATACTACAGGTTTTCTACTAATACAAAGCTTAATGCTAAATCCTTTATCCCTTTAAGCTTAAAATGTTTTAGACATTTAGCATCGTCCACTTATGATCCAGTCGACCGAAACGCAGCTGTAAACAGGGCCTAAAATTGTTTCCATCCTTATATGATGTGTCTTGTCTGTCCTCAGGTGAGGAGGTTTTGCACAGGTATCTGAGTAACGAACAGATCCCCACCATCTCAGAAGAGTCGCCCTGTTACCCACTGCCCTACCGGCCCACAGGCGAACGCCAGCTCGTCCGAGGGGTCGACCACATCCGCGGGAGCCAGTGTTTCATCAATGCCAACCTACACGACAGCGCCACCATACCCTACCAGGAAGCCATGGCACGCAAGCCTGCGCCGAAATCCCCCAAGAGACCCCCGTCCGAACCCTCTCTGCTCAGCAGCTGGATCGCACGACTCAAGCTGCTCACGCACTGAAGGCTGCTGGGAGTCTGCTATCCGCGAGCAGTATTATCTCTCAAAATCTGAGACCAGGATCTGTTGAAATTCAGCTCGGCCAGTATTAAAGACCTCCTCGGTGGAACGACTGTTGCTTTTCATCAAGACACTACTGAAGACTCTTTATCATGATTAATCAGGTCTTGGAACTGTGTTATAACTTATTAAATTTGTGCATATATTGTATATTATAGAATAGATACTGGTCCAACTTATTTTCCACTTGCTAAATACAGTAGCAGCTTTCTATTTTAAACATGCCTTGTGTAAGTTAAAGCTATTTTATCTCTGAAATATAGAGAAGAGAAGATATGAGCAAGAAAAAACTAAACAAAAAGTGTCCATTATTTAATAAACGGTGCACATTGACATGTTTATAAGGCACTTAAATTTCTATTCATGTTTGGGAACTTTTGACTTCCTTTCCAATTCACGAGATTGAATCTGAATCGATTTGGCCACGCCCCACAGGAAGTTGGAATGGACTTTGAATTGGAATGACAGGAAGTTGATTTCAATGGTCCAAGATGTTTTGACTAATTATGCCTGTAGGATCTATACGTTATTCTCAACTGATTAGACATATTTCTCAAAACTAAGTTCAACACTTCACACTCTCCAGTCAAGTTTTTTCATTGTGTCATACAGTACCACTATATTGAGGTATATATCTATATATTTTAAGTAGGAAAGGAAATTAATCATTTTATTCAGCAAGTATGCAATAAATAGGTCAAAAGTGACAGTAAAGACCTTTACATTGTTACAATGTTAAAATTAAATCAAATATTACTGAAAAAATCTAACCGACCACAAACTTTTGTGTTATTTTTTAAATATATTTATTACAATAGCAGTTCATTCTGTTCATTCCATTTTAATTTGACTTTAAATCCATATATAAACTCTACATTGGCTGTTTCTGCATCCTGTCTGCTACCTCAATTCAAATTGGGGAATCGTCATTCTGAATTTGACTCTGAATGGCAGAAAACCCTGGTGAGAAGATGTGTCTATTTCATAGCGTGAAGTGTCTGCCACATGAGCACAATATAAAGTCTGAAAGCCTTTTTACTTTACTTACATTTCAGTGTGAAAATAAGCGACTTTCTTTGATAATATAAATGGTCTTCTATTGTGGACGTTGTTCATGCGTAAATCTGAACAGTAACAGATGCAAACGATTTGTTATAGAACTCTTTTCTTTGAGTCTTAAAACCAGGCTACTGTAACACTAGAGCAAGTCATAGTTTTGAGAAAGATAGGATACTACTTGATACTTGTTTATGTTGTCAAGAACTGTTAATAAAGAATGCTATAAATAGGGAAAATCCTCTCGTTCCATGGATTCTTGTCTGGGGCAAATGTGGTCAGCTTTTCTAAAAGCGTTTTTAAGCTTTTCCCCCAGGGGGCGCTCGGAAAGACGAGTTTTTTGTATAATTGTTTTAAACAGTTTATTCTTTCAAAAAAAAAATATGTCTGCGTAAAATAAAAATGAAAACATTTTAATCTATTAATTCCAACTATGTCTACATAAGTAATATACATAAAATTGTTTATTTGTTTAAAAAGGTAATCTTATCACAACCAAGTCGTTAATATTTGAGAATGATATTTTTTTTTAAATGTCTTACCTGTCTTTCTATCAGTCAGTAAATACAGATATCACATAACATATTATCAAACAAAATACAACAAAGAACAGCAAACATATAAAATAACCAAATAAAGAATAAAAGAATAAATAATACGGCCTGCAAATAAGGTACAGTATCATATTTTAAAGGATACCTCTCTTACTTTATTTTTAAGGTATAAAAATTTCATCTGACCATAATTTTTCCAATTCATATTTTCATTTATGACCAAAATACTAAAATATGTCTTCCAGATGTAAACTACATCAAATAGACTTGTGCTGGGATGATGAACCGTATGTGTTAAACACGTCACACAACTCTTTAACTCTCTCCTTGTGTGGTATAGGCCTACAGTATCATCCGTATGGCCTTAATAAAAAACTTAAATGAGGTTATTATAGGCTACAAAGCGTTGCATGTCGAAAAAAGTCTCTTTAACATCATCATCATCATCATCATCATCATCATCATCATCATCATCATCATCATCATCATCAGTGCATTGCAATAGCGCCCCGCAGTGGTCGTTCCTGGGTAAATTTGATCAGAGTTCAGACAACAACAACACAGCTTTTCCAAGTGCTTCTTTTAAGCAAACCATCAGTTTACTCTGGAATACAATGACAGAAAAAGATCTGATTATAATTCCTCAAAGTTAAACACAAAAGGTGATGAAGAGACAGCGACTGATTAAATCAATTATGCAAATGAAAGGCGTTATTAGAGGCTCGTGTAAGTCCAACTCAGCGTTCACAAACACTGTTACACAGCTTGAATAGGATCTGGGATGTCTGCAAGAGCGATTTTCAGAGGGATAAAATACCTGCAGGTTTTCACATGCTGGATACAGGCAAGTCAAATAAAATAAAAACAGTAACACAAGAAAGAGTGTAACAACCATATCTGTTTGTCAGTCAAAAAATGCTTCAAACTTACTTTATATTTCATTATTATTATATTATTAAATATAAAAGACGTTGATAATGACTTGTTTGTGTTGGTTCAGTTGGTAGAGGAGATATATCTACTGGTCTCCGCTTTGAAGGCAACAGAGGAGAATCACAGGATGATGAACAGACAGAGTCAGTCAGTAAGTGTTCACTTTTCCTCCCAGTTGTTTTGCGATCAACGACTAGTATCAGAAATAACGTTTTAAGTATTTTACACCTGGAATAGTGTCATGTTATTCATCTTTTAACTTTCTAAGGGCCTATATTTCCTAAGCATACACACAGCATCTGTGTCTACTTTCTGTGAAATGCTTCAAACTGAATCTATCGAGTGAAAAAAAAAAATGGACTTAAAGGAGTAGTTCACTTTTAAAAATATATATTAATATATTATATACATATATTATATTAAACATAATTTACTCACCCCCATGTCATCCCAGATGTCCACATCTTTCTTTCTTCAGTTGAAAAGAAATTAAGGTTTTTGATAAACGTTTCATTTTCTCCATATAATGGACTTTATTGGGAACCAAATGGTTCAAGGTCCAAATGAGAGTTTCAGTGCAGCTTCAAATGGCTTTAAACGACACCAGATGATGATTAAGGGTCTTAATCAAGGACCCTTCGAGTCATGACTCGAAAAAAGATTTGATCGTTTTGATGAACGAGTTTGAACAGGAGAGTCACGAACGCGCATCACAGAACAGAGCAAGACGAGCATTTGTGCTTATAAAACTTAAACTTTTTTTATTTTATAAATGACGGTTCATTTCACTAGAAATTTCACTAAAACCCTTATTCATCGTCTGGTGTCGTTTAAAGGACTTTGAAGCTGCACTGAAACTCTCATTTGGACCTTGAACTGTTTGGTTCCCATTGAAGTCCATCATATGGAGAAAATGTTTAAATATCTTGGAATGTTTTCATCAGAAACCTTTCTTTTCAAATGAAGAAAGAAAGACGGTGAGTAAATTATCAAATTATCAAAAGTTTTTTTTTTAAAGTGAACTACTCCTTTAACTATATCAAATAAACACCAAATACAGAAGTAGCTGTAAATAATGTTCAAGAAAATATTTGAAATAATTGTACAGCTGCCACTAAATTGTCTTTTTTCTGACTTCCATAGCATTACATTTTTAATTTTCTGTACGTATTTCCTGTACGTTCAGTGTTTTCAGAGCTGATTTTATCATATGTTTTCTATTTTTTGCATCATAAACTACTTCCTATTGAACTGTCAGCTGTTCCCAAGCTCTGCTGAAGATTATTTCACATAATACTCAGCAGAATGTGTATCTGTGAGTGTGATTTATTGCTTATCTGTTCAAACACTGTTGGCTACATTTGGCAACATTCTTTTAGAAACATTCACAAAGAGAAAAATAGCCTAGTTCATAACCAAACTAATGTGTTTTTTTTTAGGGTTTAGGTTCTCTGGAACTGTTGTCTTGTCACAATCTTTCTGAATTTAAATAAATGTTTACTCAAGATGTACAATTTTTTTTAAATGGAAAATGTGTAGATTTTAGAAATGCCACTATGTGGAAAAAAAGTCTAAATCAGTATCAGCTGCTACTATGTACTAAAAAGTTTTTTTTTTTTTTGTGTACAGACAGCAACATTGTCAAAACGATCACCTTTCACATGGATCTGTGAAAATTATTAAAAATGTGTGTTATTCTGCCGGGCCAGTAGTTGGCGACGTCACTTTGTAAAGAAACTGCACACGTAATAGACACACACGATGAAACTGTTTTCACAAATTCACGTTTTTGTAGTTTACACGGAGACGATAATGGTATAATTTTGAAAAAAGGTTTTGTTTTCAGAACCCTAAAATGCTGTTTTAAAACCCCACAGTCGTGTAAATGAAAAGCCAAAACGCGTAAAAAAAAATGGTCACAATGAAACCAATCTTTTCTTCCGTGTTGTGACGTACATCCAAGCTAAATGAATTATTGTGAAAAAAATAATAAGAACAAATAGGGCAGTGATTTGGTTTGTAATCGTCATTTGGGGAAGATCCAGTTAAGGCGCTTTAACAAAAAAATAACGAGAACAAAAAAAAAACTTTTAAAATGAAATTGAAACTTGAATTGTTAGCTACATTTGGCAACCTTCTTTTAGAAACTTTCACAAAGAGAAAAATAGCCTAGTTCATAACTAAACTAATGTTTTTTTTAGGGTTTAGGTTCTGTTGTCTTTTCACAATCTTTCTGAATTTAAATGTTTACTCGAGATGTACAAAAAAGTTTTTAAAACAGAAAAAGTGTATATTTTAGAAATGCCACTATGTGGAAAAAAAAGTTGGAATCAGTATCAGCTGCTAAATTAAGCGTACGTTTACACAACTCTAATGTACTAAAGTTTTTTCTTTGCGTTTTTTTTTTTTTGTGTACAGTCAGCAACATTGTCAAAACGATCACCTTTCACATGGATCTGTGAAAATTATTAAAAATGTGTGTTATTCTGCCAGGCCAGTAGTTGGCGACGTCACTTTGTAAAGAAACCGAATACGTAATAGACACGCAATCGCAAAATTACGTGAAAGGCGTGAAACTGAAACTGTTTTCACAAATTCACGTTTTTGTAGTTTACACGTAGACGATAATGGTATCATTTTGAAAAAAAAAGGTTTTGTTTTCAGAACCCTAAAATGCTGTTTTAAAACCCCACAGTCGTGTAAATGAAAAGCCAAAACGCGTAAAAAAATGGTCACAATGAAACCAATCTTTTCTTCAGTGTTGCGACGTACATCCAAGTTAAACGGATTATTGAGAAAAAAGTTCCGCATTTGACGCAAGGATGCTCGTCAGTTTCCGGTTGGGGAGATTAAAGCGGAGGAAACCCGAGGAAAACGGGATTATTGCAGAGTCATCAAAATTTACTGTCCTCCCGTCTTTGAAACGAAACTTTCATACGTTTAGATGTAATTTTATATATAGTTATGTTTGTTTAATATATTTTTAAAAAGAAGCATAAACACAACGAGGGGTGTCTGTTTTATCTGTTTTTGTGACTAAAGTTTCTTTAGTATAACCATGGAGTATAAAATTCAATATAAATTCTCGGTATTGCGTTGGACTCTACGATCGGCGGAAGTTATCGAGCATCCTTAAACCTTCACCGGAAATACCGCCGTGCATAGAGCCCATAGCGCAGTGATTTGGTTCATAATCGTCATTTGGAGAAGATCCACTTATGGCACTTCGAATTTATTACGAGAACAAAAAAAAAAACAAAAAAAACTTTTAAAATGAAATTGAAACTTGAATTGTTCATAATAAAATCTATAATAGGCATTTAGGAACTAGATTTGAGGAAGTGAATGTGAAAATTGTGCTGTATCTGTTGTTTCATTTTAAGTTTTTTAAAAATGTAGGCTATTACCATTCTTAATCAGCTTTTCTGCGGTTCACTTAAATAGTCCTACGGCGCGACATGAAATTTTAAAAAGTCTGAATTTTCCATATAGCCTCTATGAATATGAACTCATAAAATATGAATGCATAATAACTGAACAAGAATTAGGAAAGAAAAAAATGTTTTGGAATATAAATACCGACTACTTCGCACGTCATCTGATTATGGCAGTTTCACCTGATCTTCAGAAGCCTTGTGGTAAGTCTCCTTACACTGTATCTAGTAGCTATATATAGCATTTACATTTGCGTTTTGAAACCGAGAGAGGGAGGATCTCAGCATTAGTGTGTGCGTGTGTACTTGAACACTCTCACTGGCGTGTGTGTGTTGTTAAGTGAAGGCTGTGTCATTAGCGCTGTCTCTCGGTGCTGTGGGCGCTGATGGCTGAGCTCACTGTTTAATTCACGGTCTTTCTTTCTCCTTGCGCTTTCAGTACCCTCTTCAAGACTTTGCAGCCGAGAAGTCTCAAGGTAAGCAGGAAGAAGTGTTGTGTCAAGAGAAACTTTAAACTTGAGTAAAACGTTCCTGTTTTTGCCAGTGCACCATGTACAAAGATAAATGTGGATTCTGTTAACGTTATTGACGGCATCATGCACTGTTATCTTTGCTATTGATGTTCCAAAGTGAGCCCTGTGAGAACGCCACTGTTGTTGTCTTATTGTGTTGTGTTTGTTTGTTGTTTGCGATAGGAGATGGTGTGATGAGCCGCAGAAGGGTCTCGGTGAAAGACCTGGGCCAGGGCGACTGTCAGGGCTGGTTGTACAAAAGGAAAGAAAGCAAAGGGCTCTTGGGCTGGAGGTGGAAAAAGTTTTGGTTCGTGCTCAAGAAATGTTCGCTCTACTGGTACACATCCGACACGGTAAATCAAATGTGTGGTTTTCCCATGATAATGTGTGTGTGCGGAAAATGTGAACAAGTGTGTTTATGCGTTGAAAGATCATTTATTATCTCGTTTTGGAAATGAGAAGCCTATCGCACAACCATTTTTGAGGTTAGTGTTAGCGTCGCTGTAAATGTTCTCTGTCAGCTGGGTTGTGTGGGTTTGAACCAGAGTTGAATAATTTGCTCTGGAGCGTTTACAGCCGAATGCAGTGAACAGCCAATCACACGAGCAGTTTGATTCGTTTCTCATTAGGAGTCTGGACATTTTCCCATTCATTTTAATAGGGGTCAATGTATACATACTACCCTAATGGAATAAAAGTTTGTATAATATTTTACTGTACCAATGTTTTTTTCATTCACTGACCGAATAATTTTCTGTTTTGAATTTCTAAAAATCACAGCTTCATCGGAAGGTTATGATACTTGGTGACTTTTATGGCATTTGGTATGTGATTACAAAAAAAAAATTGACATGTGAATAGGTGAATATGTGAATAGTAAAAAAAATAGTCACACTCGTGGTCTTGGACCCATAGGAAATGAATGGGAAATTTACAAAAACACAAAAATTTCTAAAAGAAAGTACACCGCAGTAAAGGTCTTTATCAATTTCTGTGCATCCATACACATCCATACTTACCATATGTAATAGATAGGATACAAAATGGAAATTGTAAAGCAAGCATGCAAAATAAATTCTGTGTGCATGTGAAAGTCTGTATATGTATATATGTATATTTTCTTACTGTTTTTACCGAATACACAGTTCAAAAGGAAGATTTTGAAATCATACAGAGAAAACTGACTGGGAGTCTGTGACTTAATGCTAGCATATCTTGTTTTAAATATGCCTGATAAGGGCTATCTTCGTCTTTGACCCAACATTATTGCACTGTGAAGCTCTAAACTTTGGAGCAACATTGGGGTGACTTTATTGCATCAGAGAAATGTCTTTTTGCTCACAGCTGATTCAATTTTGTTTTGCTATCTTTTACCCAAAATGAAACGTGTTCCAGAGCAAGGCTACATTTCTCAAAAGCATAGTTATCTTAAGTAGATTGTAGATAGCATCGGTGCCAGTGGTTTCTATGATGTACTTGGTTTTACGATGCCTTAAAAAAGCCGCTCTTTTCTAAAGATAAATGATCTCCACTTCCTTTCAGGCAGAGAAGGCCGAAGGCTACATCAACTTGAGGGACTTCTTCGTAGAACAAGCTACCGAATGCAAGAAGAAGTTGTGAGTTTGTCTTCCTTATTTAGATTTTTGACTGCTTGTGGTTTGAAAAAAAAAACCTGACCTAGTAACACGATCTTTCAGATGTTACTGCATGTTAAATTGTTAGTGCAGTTTGCTATATATGGGTTATATATTTCTTATACTTGGCAACATACAGTATAATACCCGTATCTATAATACGCCTTAACAACGACCCAGAATAGCATAGCAGCTTTAACAAAACATTTAAAAAAATACTCAGATCACCTTAAGCCTAGTTCACACTACATGATTTTAAAACGTCGGGCTGAACTGTGCGGTTCACACTACATGACACAACATGATTGGTCCGCAACAGGAGGTAATGCACTACACGAGTTGACAAAAACAACTCTGTCATCCAACGATTCTATTTTGTCTACAAACCACGTTTTGTCACGAAAAATCATGCGATAAAACAAACTGGAAATGATGGGAAACAGCACAGCACAATACCCATGGAAGAAGAGAAGAACACAACACACGAATATGGACGTCAGACAGAAACTAGTGCTGCAAACTGTTTGTGCGATCATTTGCTCTGAGAAAAAAAAAAAAGATTTAAGCTGTGACCTCAACCTATGCCTTGCTATGATTGGCTGTAGCTCATGACATCACTGAGGTTGAGTCGTGCGACAGCTCTGGATATCTAGCATGCAGGCTCAGCGAGGCGTCTGTGAGGCGTCTTTGATGCGTTGTTGGCTCTTTCATACTAACAGATTGGCAAGCGTTCATCGCCCGCTAATCCCGCACGATTTGCACACGATAACACCCTGACCTGACCTAAAAAGTACTCGGATCCCCTTAGAAACCACCTAGCAACGCCTTAACAATGACCCAAAATAGCATAGCAGCTTTAACAAAACATTAAAAATTACTTGGATCACCTTAGACACCTCCTAGCAACGCCTTAACAACGACCCAGAATAGCATAGCAGCTTTAACAAAACATTAAAAATTACTTGGATCACCTTAGACACCTCCTAGCAACGCCTTAACAACGACCCAGAATAGCATAGCAGCTTTAACAAAACATTAAAAGTACTCGGATCACCTTAGGAACCAACTAGCAACGCCTTAACAACGACCCAGAATAGCATAGCAGCTTTAACAAAACATTAAAAATTACTCGGATCACCTTAGGAACCACCTAGCAACGCCTTAACAACGACCCAGAATAGCATAGCAGCTTTAACAAAACATTAAAAAGTACTCGGATCACCTTAGGAACCACCTAGCAACGCCTTAACAACGACCCAGAATAGCATAGCAGCTTTAACAAAACATTAAAAATTACTCGGATCACCACCTAGCAACGCCTTAACAACGACCCAGTATAGCATAGCAGCTTTAACAAAACATTAAAAAGTACTCGGATCACCTTAGGAACCACCTAGCAACGCCTTAACAACGACCCAGAATAGCATAGCAGCTTTAAAAAAACATAAAAAAATACTCAGATTAAGAACCACCTAGAATACCGTAGCAGCATTAGAAACACATTTAAAAATACTCAGATCACATTAGAAACCACCTAGCAACGCCTTAACAACGACCTAGAATATCGTAGCAGCATTAGAAACAAATTTAAAAACACTCAGACACCTTAGGAACCACCTAGAAACGTCTTAACAACGACCCAGAGTAGTGTAGTAGCTTTAACAAAACATTAAAAACAATATTCTGATCACCTTAGGAACCACCTAGCAACGCCCTAACAACGACCCAGAATAATGTAGCAGCAATGATAACACATTTAAAAACACTCAAACCACCTTAGGAACCAACCACATGCAACTCCCAATCAGCTTCATGGACACTCCTTGTCATCCACACAACATCCTAGCAACCTCCTAGAACATCTTAGCAACCTCCCAGAACATCCTAGCAACCTCCTACACCCCATTGAGAACCCACTCGAAGTAGACTGTCAAACCTCGTAGCGACTAGAGCCCGACCGATAAAGGATTTTGAAGGCCGATACCGATACAAATATTTTTGGGTCTTAAAATCCGATATTCCGATATATCAGCCGATATTTTATTTATTTATTTGAAACTGGACATGATAGTCACAAATTTTGTCATGCTTATTTGAGTTAAGAGAACTGATGGGGATGTTCTTTTAATTGTTATTCAAGCAATGTATGTCTCGTGACCAACTCAACGAGTGTTGCCAACAGGGACGTTGTAGAGTGCCCTCTGGTGGACAAACTATACAACTCCAACACTCATGACATGGTTCAAGCGTGTTTCGTCCATTTTTATTTTATTTTTGAAATATTCATTTATCGGCCATTATAACTGCCGATACCGATAGTTTGGAAAATGCCTAATATCGGCTCTGGCTCTAGCAACCATAGCAACAACTTAGCAGTGCTTTAACAACCAACTAACAGAAACCAGCCATAGAAACACGCTAAAACCATTCAGACAACCCTATCAGAAACTGCACCTTGGCAACTACTCAGAACATCATAGTTGAAGTAGTTATGGGGTTGTCATTTGACTGTTGCATTAAGAACATGTGGTTTCAAGCTATAAATCAGATTTTTTTTTTTTTTTTGCACATGAAGTGTGTCATCTTTACCCCATTGAATGTGCGTTCAGAGCAGACAGTTTCCTGTGTTATAAATGTGTGGTGTGAACCACTAGACTAGAGACTTCCTTCTTAAAGACATACAGTGATGTTGCTTTACTTTCATAACAATAATTGGATGTGGATAAGACAGAAGGCAGACTTTAGTGTCAAATACATGTCCGTTTTTGTGTAATGCTGCCACTACGCGCCACACATCCCCAAATCCAGTATATCAGCCTTGAGAACTGCTGCGGTTGTGTATGTTTTTATTTGTGTTCACTTATTTCTTCTTTTCCAGTGCAATGAAAGCGAGCCACCTCCACATGGTGACACTCTACTTTGCAGCTGAAAGCTTGAAAGACATGAACAAGTGAGTGAATCTTTGGTCTGGTGGTGACACGTTTGCACTGCAGTGTGACAGGCTTCGACACCTAGCTGTGACCAAAGCTGCACAGTCGAGCATGTTTGATGAAGGTCTGCAAAGTGGGTTTTGCACACCTTCAGTGCTAAAAACACAGCATGGTCTCCGCAATTGAGCTTAATCTGATAAAATGTGTCAAATTCTGCAAACTATTGGAGTATTTAATCAAAAATTACACTTAAGGGTGCTTTCACACTTGGTTTGGTTGCCTGTTCCAAACGATTGCAGACAATTGCATTTACAAGTGCTAGTGTGAAAACATCCTAATAGAGCAGTTCACACATACTTATTTTTTACCGAAACGTTGACGTTCCTGTGTGGAGCGAACTGGAGCCTATTGTGAACTGGCCACGAGTTTCCACAGACTTATAAACAAACGATGACGTATTGGGGTTCATTGGTTCATAAACATGTTGTTTATCGGGCTTCTTAACCAGTTCAAAAACCAACATGGCCCATCATGGCACATCTGTTGCTTATGTTTTAGAGAACGTATTTGAATATAAGCCTGCGTTGAGCTAGTTTGTCTTGGATCTCCGGTGAAGACCAGACCGTAGAGTGCATGTTTCTGCTGAACAGAAGTGTATGAAGAGTTCAGATGCAAAAGCCTCTAAATGCCATTTGAAATTTTCTTCTAAAATGACCATTTTTATCAAGCTTGTATATTTAAGTTCAGTAATTTCACTTAAATGACAAATAATAGGTAATCTTCATTGCCATTTAAGTGAAATTACTGAACTTAAATATACAAGCTTGATAAAAATGATCATTTTAGAAGAAGATTTCAAATGACACTTAGAGGCTTTTGCATCTGAACTCTTCGTATCTTTTTACCATAAAGTTGAAACTCGCAAGAGATGTTGGCACAGTAGTAGCTACACTGTAAAAAATATATATATATTGTTGGTTTAACTTAAAATGTTACATGGTTGCCTTACAATTTTGAGTTCATTGAAATTAAAAATTGAGTTTGTTGATTAAACCAATCTCCTTCATTGTATTATGATTGTTATCTGAACCACATTCATTATCTAAGCTGATTTGAACACTGTTTTTGTTCAGAAAACTTTGCACTACATTTCTCCGTCCCCTACGTCACTAGTTCTGGGTTCCAATCCAGCTTGAATCAAGTTTTTAGGGCTGGGGTATTGAGCCCGACCGATAAAGGATTTCGAGGCCGATACCGATATAAATATTTGTTGGTTTCAAAATCCGATATATCGGCCGATATTTTTTTTTTTTTCAGAAACGCGCAACAAAACATTAACAGATTTCCCTAACATTACTTATTTGTAGTTATTTATGAGTTTTAACTAAAATAATATGATAATGCATTTTAAAAAGAAACTTGTTTCTTTTGTCACAACAGAACAGAGGAACCAAAGCTCATTAATGTTAACGTTAGCGGTCTTCCACTGATTATAGTGGCATTAGCTAGCTTTATGGTTAGCTAGTCTATGATGAGCCATAATTTAGCAATGGATAACGTCATACTGCAAATTGTAAAACATACATTTTCAATATAACAGGCCAAGGAGAGATGATGCGTCTCTTTGCTATAACTGTCACACGCTAAAGAAATTCTTCAGTCACATTGTCAAAAGTTGAAAGGATAGTCAGTCAACTACACTGTAACAACTTAACGTAATTATTACTAGCTAATTCCTCTTCACTCTCGGCTTATTTAACTGCAGCAAAACTGGACATGATAGTCACAAATTTTGTCATGCTTATTTGAGTTAAGAGAACTGATGGAGATGTTCTTTTAATTGTTATTCAAGCAATGTATGTCTTGTGACCAACTCAACGACTGTTGCCAACAGGGACGGTGTAGAGTGCCCTCTGGTGGACAAACTATACAACTCCAACACTCATGACATGGTTCAAGCGTGTTTCGTCCGTCTTTATTTTATTTTTGAAATATTCATTTATCGGCCATTATAACTGCCGATACCGATAGTTGGGAAAATGCCTAATATCGGCCAATAATATCAGCCTGCCGATATATCGGTCTGGCTCTACTGGGGTAGAACCGAATATTTCATTTATTTACTGCAGTGGAAATGCATAGATCAGTTCGAAAACGGACACCGACCGGGAACCAAAAAACGACCAAATTCTCTCCCAGATAATGCTGTAAACTATACTGAGGACCTTGAAAACTTGCAACATTCCAAAAATATAATTTTTAATAAATACAGTAACTGCACTAGTCATGATTCTTCCAAATCAGAGATGCAACGATCGATCGGCCACTGACCAGAATCTGACTATTTTCCACTTGACCGGTAACTTAACCAGTCAGTCTCACCTTTTCCTATTCCAAGCCGGTCTGTTTTGTTGCCAGCGGCAACAGGGAATTACGTCAGATGCATGCTCTCGCTCTCTCTTCTCTCCGACAGCGAAGTGACGTACACCCGCCTCCTCTCACTCACTCTTCTCATGCAGTCCGGTTAGACCGTGAGAATTAGTGAAATTATGCGCAATACAAGCACTATTTGAGTCTCAAGCAGCTTGAGTCGCAAGTACCAAAATGAGTGGCTTTACTCCACTTACACTGAAGCCGGAAATGCTGGCGAGTATTTAGTTAAACAAAGTTGTGTAACAGTATATTGGATCTGTCCATAAACTAATAAAGGAGTAGTTCACTTTTAAAAAAAAACTTTTGCTGATAATTTACTCACCCCCATGTCATCCAACATGTCCACGTCTTTCTTTCTTCAGTCGAAAAGAAATTAAGATAAACATTTTTTGATGAAAACATTCCAGGATTTTTCGCCATATAATGGACTTCAATGGGAACCAAACGGTTCAAGGTTCAAAAGACAGTTTCAGTGCAAACTGTTCAAAGGGCTTTAAACGCTTTCAGACGATGAATAAGGGTCTTATCAAGAGTAACGATCGCTCATTGAAAAAAATAATCTTTTTTTCGTGACATTTGGTTTATTCAACCAATGAAATGAACAAATTGACTCAGAAAAAGATTTTGATGAACGAGTTCGAACAGGAGAGTCACTAACGCGCATCACAGAACAGAGCAAGGCGAGCATTTGAGCTTATAAAACTTAAACTTTGTTATTTATTTTTTAAATGAGCGATCATTTCTCTTGATAAGACCCTTATTCATCGTCTGGAATCGTTTAAAGCCCTTTGAACAGTTTGCAGTTTGTACTGAAACTGTCTTTTGGACCTTGAACCATTTGGTTCCCAGTAAAGTGCATTACATGGATAAAAATCCTGGAATGTTTTCATCAAAAACCTTAATTTCTTTTCGACTGAAGAAAGAAAGACTTGGACATCTTGGATGACATGGGGGTGAGAAAATTATCAGCAAAAGTTTTATTAGAAAGTGAACTAATCCTTTAAAGTGACAGCAGTCTAATAATCCTGCTGCTGCCCGTCATGTTAATCAAAGAAGAGAAAATCACTCGAATCTCTTGACTGAGCAACTTTTGTAAGTAATTGTAAGCATTAATCTGCATTTAGTTTTAGACTATTCAGTGTTATTTTACATTTGATTACTTAAAATTTTGTAATATTTCTTACCTGAATATACCGTATACCCTCCTGAAAAACTTAAAGCTTTGTTTATTTATTATCTTTCTTTATTCTATAGCATTTATTTATGGCGTTGTTTTGAAATTAATTTATACTTATTTTATTACGAAAATAAAATGTTGCATTGATTAAAAGTAGATTTCCGTTTGCATATGCTGTCAATTATAGTTATTTGACAGAAAATCTGAATCGGCAGGTCACATTTACAAAGAAAAGAAACGGAAATCGGAATGAACCAAGAAAATAGCAATCGGTGTATATCTATTCAAAAGATCTCTTTTTGTGTTGCATGGAAGGAAAAAAACATGGTTTTTGATTTGAATCAGACAAGTGTGAGAAATTATTGACAGAAATATATATTTCTTCTTGTAAAACTTTCCTGTAAGGCTGTGTTGAGACATAAATAAACCTGTGAGTGGAAAACATTGAGAGAAATCTGTGGGTGTGCTGCCATTAAACTGTGGGCAGAGGACACATAACGATCCATTACAATCATTCCACCCATCTGATAAGTGTAGGTTTACTGTAATTAATGTGTTTGTTTTTTTTTAAACCTAGATGGCTGGCTAAACTCTCCGAGGCTTCAAATGAACCTGAACCCACAGACTCTACGAACGGAGGTAAAGATTCATCCACACATGCCTACGGAAGCCTAGTTAACACTGAGAGTCCAATTCAAACCTGTCATACTGAGACTGTGCTTGTGTGATTATAGAGTGCTACAGTGAGGAGAGCGATGATGATGATGAAGCTGAGGTGTCTGTGGAGGACACGGATCAGCTGACCCCTGGCTCTTTGCATGTGAGTAACCACACTTTATCCAGACATGCTAATACTAAGAGCTTGCTAACCATAAGTATTAAACTCCAAGATTTTAAATTATTTGCTATTTATATGTGATGTGATTGTGAAAATGGGTGAACCAATGATGCATTTCCACATGCACTACCATAAATCAATTTTTTTTTCATAAATTCATCAAAAGTGACTGTAAAGACATTTCTAATGTTCCTAAAGATTTATATTTCTTATAGTGATTCCAAAATAAAAGTTTGTTTTTACATAATATGTGTGTGTGTGTGCTGTATAATTATTTTGTATATATAAATACACACACATGCATATATATATTTAAGAAAAATGTGTTATTTATATATAAAATATTAATAGTTATATATAATATTGTGTGGATATACTGTACACACATGCACTTTTTATATACATGCATATGTTTTTTTTATGTATATATAATGATTATAAACAGCACACACACTTTTACTTCGGATGCGATTCATCGTTTCTCAGCACTAATTTCGAATTAATGCTGTTCTTTCGATCTCTCTCTATTCATCGAAGAATCCTGCAAAAAAAATGAATCATGGTTTCCACAAACATATTAAGCAGCATGAGTAATTGATGATAATAAATGTTTCTTGATTATATTAACATTTCAGCATATTAGAATGATTTCTGAAGGATCATGTGACCACCTATGAGTAATTATGCTGAAAATTCAGCTCTCCATCTGATGAATAATTTCCATTTAAAAAAAAATATTAAAATGGAAAAAAGGTTGTTTTTTATTACTGTTTTTACTGTATTTTGTCAAGTAAATCTCTCTCTCTTTCTCTCATATATGTTTTTCATAATATTATGACAATTTAAAATGACTGTTTTCTATTTTAATATATTTTAAAATGTAATTGGAAAGCTGAATTTTCAACATCATTACTGTTGCTGATTACACATCAGTTTTCAGTGTCACATGATCCTTCAGAAATCTTTCTAATATGCTGATTTTATGCTCAAAAAACCTAAATTATTATTTTCAATGTTGAAAACAGTCGTGTACCTTTTTCCCCCCAAAATGATGAATAGAAAGGTCAAAAGAACAGCATTTATTTAAAATATAATCTTTTCTAACATTATAAATGTCTTTACTGTAACTTTTGATCAATTTAACTCATCCTTGATGAATAAAAGTATTTTCAAATTTCTTTCCCCCAAAAATAAAAAAATAAATTCTTACTGACCCCAAACTTTTGAATGGTAGTGATTAATGTTACAAAAGCTTTCCATTTCAGATCAATTCTGTTCTTTTGAACTTTCTATTCATCAAAGATTCCTGAAATAAAAATGTAAAAAATTACTTTCAACATGGATAATAATCATAAATGTTTATTGAGCATCATATTATAATAATTTCTGTAGAATCATGTGACACTGAAGACTGGAGTAATGATGCTGTAAATTCAGCTTTGATTACAGGAATAAATTACACTTCACTATATATTCACATAGAAAACCACTGTTTTAAATTGTAATAATATTTCACAACATTACTGTTTTTTTTTTTTGTATTTTTTTTTTTATCAAATAATTGCAGCTTTGGTGAGCAGAAGAGACTTCTTTAAATCTTACCGATCTAAAACTTTTGACGGGTAGTGTATGTAAATGGTATTTTTTTGAGGTTTTGTCATTGTGCTGTTATAATTGAAGTGTATTTGTGTGTATGTCTCAGGGTTGTCTCCCGCCTCCCCGCTCCTCTTCCTCTCCATGTCACCGCACAGAGACTCAGAGCGCAGACAGTGAGTCGTGGCACGAGATCAGCACAGAGGAAGACCCCATCGCCAAAATACAGGAGTTCAAAGGAAACGACCGTGAGCGAGCGCTGGAATGAGATGTCTTAACCTTATATGTGCAAATCCAAATCAAAAACAGTTTAAAGAGATAGTTTAAATTTACCCGCCTTTCGCTCTACTTCCAAACACATTAAGATATTTAAAATAAGACCTGAGAGATTTACGTTCCTCCATTGAAAGTCTATTCCATCAACACTTTCAAAGTTTATAAAGAAATTGTAAACGGTTTAATCTAAGTCTTCTATAGAGACAATAGGTTGAGTTAGTGTTGACCAGTTTCGATGCTCTACTTGTCAAGAATCAGCATTTACACTGAGCACAAAACATGGTCCACAGATTCTTCTGCCATATCTTTTTTTAAAGGGTTCATGACATGAGATTTGAGTGGAAGAACGTTCACTTAAAATGGCTTGTTTGCTAATTTCTGTAGAGACTTCAGAAGGATCCCAGCATTAGAAACAAGCGTATGGTTAGATTGATCTCATGAAGTAGCGTGTGCATGACACGCCAATTCGTATTTCCATTTTTGGCGTGCTACGAAGACGCATAATCACTTTTCAGCGTGTTTATGAACGCCGTTGACTTAAAGTTATTACTGTTTATATAAATATATGACTTACCTCAACCCCGTCCCTAAACCTAAAGGCCATTGCACACCGAGTCCGAAATTCGCATCCGAAATTTTCGCACGTTAAAAAAAAAATTCGACCTCACGTTATGTCAATCACGCTTGCACACCGCCTCCGAAACTTTCGTCCGTCATAAAATTAATCGGATCGGGTTCGATTTTCTGCGTTTTTCGCATCCAGAGCCAGCATTTTGAGAGGTCTTTTGACAATTCAGGGCCGGAGGGAGCTCGTCCTCAAATCATTGCACATATGCGCCGTGCTTTCAGTTTCGGTTTTCAATTCGATCAAGTGTTTATGTTCTCTTCTCTATATTGGATTATGAAATTAATAATCCCCTTTCAATCAGATTGAAATTTAGGATCGAATAAGGTGTGATTGAGCAGCCTATTCGATAACTAATGTATTATTTTGGGCACAATATACACAATAACAGCCTAGCTGTTCTGTCTGCCCAGCGCTTCCAACGGGCCGCGCGCGGGTGTGTGTTTGTCCGTGTGTGTGTGTGTCCATACCTGGTCCATTTCAGACTGACACACTGCCATGTTATGTTCTATGTTCAGAATCGATTGGTTCATGGAAATTGGTGGTCTTGTTTTTAATATGTGGCTCCAGGATCGCTAGCAAAGCATCAAACTGTCCCACTGACATTCTGAGGTAAATTTTGAATCGCTCAGGATAAATTCGCAACTCCTTGATAAGGTGGAACTCCTTCCTCTCGGCGCAATTTCAGGATTGGATGGACGTAATATTTTCTCTTTCTTCTCTTTTCAATAAGAGAGAGGGCAAAAATCATCCTCACTGCTTGACGAATCCATTTGGTATTTTTGCGTTTTTTCCCGCAAAGGTTTAAGAAATACGCAACGGACTCGGTGTGCAAGGTTTCTATGCGTGACGAATTTTTAGGCTGACGAACACGGAAATACGCATACGAATATTTCGTACTCGGTGTGCAATGGCCTTAACCGTCACTGGGGTTAATGACATTTATGACTGTTCCCTCACCATCCTAGGAAAAAAAAAGATCGCTCCCCAGATGTAGATCTACATTTTGCTTCGTTTCGCGCGGACATTTGACATTGTGTACAGACACGCGGAATCACTGGGACATTAATGGCGTAGACATACACACGGATTCACGCGGATAGCTCAAAATGCGTAAAGATAACACGCCACTTGACTCGAAAGTGACGTGTATGTTTACGCAAAAGTCATGATGTCATGTTGGTATGGTTTATTTCAGTGGCGTCCCGGATCGCGTCTGATTATTATGTAAATTATGTTTCTATATAAATGTTTTCAGAAATCGTTCTCGAGCCGCCAGGCGCTGTTGAGTGTTTTCTGTTAGAGCGGTGTCGCAACCCTTAAAGGAGCAGCACATTAAAGCGATCCTCCACTCTTTTTGGAAATAGGCTCATTTTACCACTCCCACAGAGTTAAACAGTTTTACGGAGTTTTACCGTTTTCGAATTCATTCAGACGATTTTCTGATATTTAGAAGAATATCAGTAACCAGACAGTTTCTGATCTCATTGACTTTCATAGTATATATTTTTTTCCTACTATGGAAGTCAATGAGACCAGAAACTGTCTGGTTACTGATATTCTTCCAAATATCAGAAAATCGGCTGAATAGATTTGAAAATGGTAAAACTCAACTATTTAAAGGTGCATTATGCAACATTTCATGTTAAAAATAGCCGTTTTCTAACCCATACATGCTTAAACAATTGCCTGAATGGCTGAATGAGTCCTGCTCTGATCACTGCGATTGCCTCTATAATCCTGTACAGTAAAATAAATGAAAGGGATTCGGGCTCAAATTTGAGACTGGGCGTGACGTCATGCGCGTGCGTTCATGCTCGCCTGGCTAAGTCTGGCAGGTTTGTGTATTCGCCGCCATTCTCCGCATCATCGAAGACAACTCGAGCGACAAAATTTAGTCAACTTTCGACAAAAGTAGAAGATGGATTCAAAGAGACCATCGTGTAGTTCATTCCAAACCCCAACGCAAACTTCACGCAAGACAAAGAAAATATAACTTTTGTCTAGTGCCAGGCGTCGGAATAAGACGAGAGTCGACATCGGGAAGCTTTCAACAAATGGAGAGATCGCCGGTCTGCTCTAGGGCTCAAACGGGATATAAAGTAATAACTTATATTGTTCATCTACCAAAGTTTTCTACCACCCCCGTTTCCCCCTCACACACACATACAGTAAGTGTGTAATTTACTCAAATGCCTTTCCTTTCATATACTGTATTTTAAATTACTTGCAGATTTAATAACTTTATTACCTCATTATGACTGTAACAAAAGTGTGCGGCTGATGCTCTTTTGGTTATGAACAGTTCGTGCAAGCGTGCGTGTGTGTGTGATCCATGAGCGCGCACACCTCTGATTGCAGTTTCGCTTGTCGCCAGAGGGGGTGTAGTTCTGCAAAAACTCAGAGACTTGCGTTTTGCACCTTTAACTCTGAGGGAGTTGAAAAATGAGCCTATTTCCAAAAAAAAAAAAAGTGGAGTATCCCTTTAAAAACAGATTTTCAGACAAGGGGTCACAATGAGGGTTTAAAATAATGTTATCCCGCCTATATATATTTTTTTAATTTTTTTTTAAATCAAAAACAATGTCATGACCTTTTAAAAATACCAAGAATCAGTGTTGTAGTCGAGACCACCTCACTCGAGTCCGAGTCGACACCGAGACCAGAGAGAGTCGAGTCCGAGTCAAGACCGAGTCCATAGAGAGTCGAGTCCGAGTCGAGACCGAGACCAGTGAGGGTTGATTACCTAATTTACTTTTATTTACTTAGAGAAATCCTTTTTTTTTTTTTTTTTTTTTACTGAATTTACTTAGAGTTTAAAAAATATGCTCAGTTTAGGGTAAAAAGGCCACATAGTAGGTGGTGTTAAAAGTAATTTTATTACAATTTGTCATGCGCAGTTGTGCACTAGAAAATCACCAATCACTGGGCGTGTCAATCAATTTAAAGAAACATTGTATTAACATACATTAATAATCATGAAAAATATTTTTAATTGAACTCAAGTGGACTCGGGAATAATTCCGAGTCCTAAAAAAAAAAATGTTCGAGTACGAGTCAATTCCGAGTCCAAATGCACACGAGTCCATGACAAGACCAAGACCATTAAAATATGGTCTCGAGACCGAGTCCGAGACGAGTCCGAGTCTCGAGTACTACAACACTGCCAAGAATTCCCCAACCTTTTTTTTTTTTTTTTTTTACAAAAATGTTCTTAACTATTATGTGAATATGTCTGAACACAAGAAAATAGCAAAAGCTTAAAAAGAAAAACAAATTATAATTGTACTGTTGTATTGTATAATTGTCAAAATTGTCTCTATAAAATTATATATATATATATATTTTAAATCCTTATCCAGCTACTGTGACCTCCTGGAAGAGTCATGAGAAAGTCATTGGTGGAAAAAGTGTGGTAATCCTGTAAATAGTTTGGTGTGTGATACTCGTGTGGTTGTTTCATCAGGCGCCCCGTCCGATGAGATGGAGATGCTGTATCTTCACCTCAAGCAAGCGAGTCTGTCGCCCACAGGAGCCCTGCAGCCGAGCACCAAACGGGACTTCAGGTCCTCCTTCATTAGACGCTGCAAAGATGAGAGCGTCAATGACAAACTGCACCTCATTCGGGCTTTAAACAGCACTTTAAAGGTGAGATTGTGCCCGTGTGTCCTCCTCAATCTCAATGGTGATGAATTTGCAGGGAATCCATAAAACTGCTCAAATCATCTAGATTCAGTCATGTCACAACACCCACACATCTTCATAACTCAAATGCTTCATAACATATATTGCAAAACATTAGGGGTGTAACGGTACATGTATTCGTATTGAACCGTTTCGGTTCGAGGCTTCCGGTTCGGTACGCAAACCGAACGATTGCTTGGACCATTTTTCTTGCCGGCAAAATTCGTGCTGACGCGGCCAACACAACGTTGCGCAACATCCAAATGGCAAGCGTAATGAAAGCAGAACGAAACTGCGCTCCTCGTTATGTGCTTCACGGATCGTTTATCAGTTCGGACCAGCAACATCTGTACAGCGCGAGCCGATCTCGATCAAGCAACACGGTTACCACACCGCGCTAAGAGATCCGGTAAAGAACACATTTGAATTCTCCACTGAGGTAATAACATCACTGCGACATCTAGTGAGATGCATTCACATTTCTCCGTTATTAACCGTAGATCTCTATTAGATCAAACAGCGCTGTCATGGAAACCAGGAGAAACATTGTGCCGTGAATGAACTAGTACTTTACGTCCACAGACCAGCAACATTCACCATGGATTTAATATAGTAACACTAACTGGAACCAGTTTGGCTGGAATGGTGAAATGCTTTCAAGTACTTCACACATCTTTTTCCAGCACTTCAAAATTCAAATATTATATAAATAAATATATATTTAAATGTTATTTTTAATGTAATGACCAAAACATTATTTGTTCATCCTTCAAAGATGACCCCTATTTATAAACCTGAAAGTTTCAAGATCTAGGAAAACTCACACTTATTTAAAAATATTTTTTCTTTAAACAAATAGGAAATTTCTCTGGCATTTCTTTCTTTTTGCTGTATCGAAAACGTACCGAACCGTGACTTTAAAACCGAGGTACGTACCGAACCGTGATTTTTGTGTACCGTTACACCCCTACAAAACATTGTTTAAAAGTAGGTTTATTCACAAAATGCTTCTGAACACTAAAATCGAATGGATGTTAGATTCAATATGGAACATGTCTGTCGTAAAACCGGTTACTGTGAAGTATGTCATTTGTGTTGGTGCAGTGCACCATTGTGTCCTCTTTTTGGTCAGTGCTGTTCTTACTAATTAGATATGCGACTTCCTCTATATACCAAGAGAGGGCTAGTGTTTAGTCAGAGGCAGACGGTTGGCCTGTCCAAACACCCACACTTTCGCCACTCGAGAGCCCATGTGCGCAACAGGAAGTGAGTGCGCAAAACTCTCCCAGGACCAAAAAAATGCCAAAGAGCATTTAATACACTAAAACCACACTGTCTTTAATAATGCTTCAGAGAGGTATTTGACGTTAAGCGTATCCCATCATTCATCACGACCACTCCAAATACAGTGGTCAAGTGCAAAGGCCACAAGTGGGACAGGTTTTTTTATTTTAGTGTACTTTAAAATATAATTTTAAAAGTTTTTGCAAAGCTGAATTTTCAGCATCATTACATTAGTCTTCAATGCCACATGATCGTTCAGAAATCATTCTAATATGCTGATTTAATACTTGGTTATTGATGTTGGAAACAGTTGTGCTGCTTAATATTTAATTTTTTGGGGGGAACTGTGATGCTTTTTCAGGATTCATTGATGAATTGATGAATAAAAAGAAAAAAAGCATTTATTCAAATTAAAAATCTTTTCTAACGATAGAAATGTTTACCATCACTTGTTATCAATTTAACACATCCTTGCTGAATAAAAATATTGATTTCTTTTTTAAAAAGAAAACAATTTTAGTTTTTCATTTTATGATTTTTGTCATTTTTATTAGTTTTTTTTATCATAATTCTATGATATTTTATTTATCATTACTCTATGATAATTGTATTATTAGAAAGCACCCCTGAAGGTTAATGCAATTCTTAATTAATATATATATATATATATATATTAGGGCTGTGCAAAAATTAATTGCGATTAATCGAATCCAAAATAAAAGTCTGTGTTTACATAATATATTTGTGTGTGCTGTATATAATTATTTTGTATATATAAATACACACACATGCATGTATATATTTAAGAAAATGTGTTATTCATATACAGTATAAAATATTTATATTTATATAATATAGTTTATGTATTTATAAATATACAGAATTTAAGCGCAAATAATTCTTAATTATATACATGCATGCATAGGTATAAATATATACAAAATAATTATATACAGCACACACAAATATATTATGTAAACACAGACTTTTATTTTGGATGCGATTAATCGCAATTAACTTTTGCACAGCCCTAATATATATATATATATATATGTGTGTGTGTGTGTGTGTGTGTGTGTGTGTGTGTGTGTGTGTGTGTATGTATGTGTATATATATATGTATATATATATATGTGTGTGTGTGTGTGTATATGAAGAGTTCAGATGCAAAAGCCTCTAAATGCCATTTGAAATTTTCTTCTAAAATGATCATTTTTATCAAACTTGTATATTTAAGTTCAGTAATTTCACTTAAATAACAATTAATAGGTAATTATCATTGCCATTTAAGTGAAATTACTGAACTTAAATATACAAGTTTGGTAAAAATCATCATTAAAGAGGAAAATTTCAAATGGCATTTAGAGGCTTTTGCATCTGAACTCTTCATATGTATGTGTGTATATATACATGTATGTGTGCATAAATATATATATATATATATATATATATATATATATATATATATATATATATATTTGTTATTAGTTGACAGTTCTTTTGAAAAATGGGTCGAAAGAAATATTAATACAAAGTATTTTGCACATGCGCAACTAGATTAAATGTGCATTAAATGTTTTTCTTGAACACTCATATATGTCATTGACTCTACAGACGCTAGATGGCAGTATTGATAAAACAAACTAACAGCTTCACTTCATCTTTGGGAAGTTCTATTTCAAGTTTCACAAAAGAAAGCAACATGTCATTCTTTGCTTTATTTCAGGCTAAGGAGGCTGATCTGCAGAACATAGAGCAGGTCTTGAGCGAAACGCCTCTGAGCGCTTGTAAATACAGACAGTGGCGAGACGCTAATGTGCTCCTGCTGCAAGAGATAGGAGAGAAACACAAGAGTCCCGTGGAGTCGCAGGCCCAGAAACCACTGGTTCAAACTCAGCCCCAACGCCAGTCGCTCTTCGGCCCGATCGCTGCGTCTCCCGCTGTCCCAGTCTACACAGAGACCAGCCTGTGAAGACGAGGACCGAGTTAGAACCCCCTAAAAGACCAACTCTGGTGTCCTGCTGGACATAACATGCAGCATCTCTGAAACACTTCACTCAGATTCTGGCCTGCAAAGGAAGAACACACAACTACATCATGAAACTGAGAAAAATGATGAACAGTTAATGCGTTTCGCCTTTGTTGTTCAGAATCAGTTTATCTGATGTATTACTTGTCGTTCGCCACAAAGATGTTTGTAGACGTTCTGTAAAGCTTTTACTAATGTTTGAATCGTATGGTGTTTTTAATTTGGTTTTATTAATCACTCATGACATTGGTTGTCTGGATGGACTTTTTTATGCAGGCTACACACACACACACACACACACACACAAACTTGATCTTTTTAGGAGTGCATTAAAAGGTCTCTTTTAAGATGTACATATTTTAGCCTTTTACAACTGTAATTTAATGTCTTAAGGATTGTACATTTTTGTATAAATGTCATATGATTTAACTGTGTAAATTTTCACTTGGTGTTTTATAATTAATTCATGCTCAAGGAGTGAAGAAGGGAATAAAAATGGCTGTTTAATTGTTTCTTTCAAAATTGTGTTGCCTATTTGTGTGTAGGCTATAAAGAGCGCTCATTGTTCTGGACCCAAAACATATGCATTGTAGACACTTTCTATTTGTTAAAATCTGTTAAATAATTATGCTTATAGTTGATGTGATGAGCTGTGGTTCGTTTTTGGGGGGAACTGATCAAATGGCGGCTGGAAACCTAGTGCAGAGACCTACAGCGATTCAAGAGTCACCAATTCCACTTGAGCGACTTGAGTAATAGTGTTAGGCAAAAGCCTAGTCCTGACAAAAATGTTTTAACTGAAAGCGACTTGCACATCTTAAAATGTCGGTGAAAAATAAGCCTAAATGTAAGCACTGCTCAGTGTTTGTCTCTTCGTTTACGTTTATAATGTCTTAAGCAACTTTTTGAGGTGTGAATATTGTGAGATGATTACGAAAAAAGCCATGGGTTTGAAACAACATATTACGATGAGTAATTTAATATCTTTGACTCTTTCCGTCCTCTGTCATGCCATCTGTGAGGACGGACGAGTATTAATAGCAAACTTTTTAATAAAAGTCCAGCACACCGATCATCACACTCTGCCATCTGCTGCTGCCAGCTTTTGTCTTCAAACACAAAGAGAGTTAATCCGTCTGTCCTGACACTCATTTACATGAGAACAGAAGAGTCCGGGCACTTTCAGCCGAAGGCCTGTAGGGAGCACCATAGAGCAAAATGTCTAACTTGACAGATGAATGTCCTTATGCTACTAAATTTGGCTATATTATGCAGTGAAACAATGAGACACCCCTCGCTGCAGCCTGGAAACAATGGCTGCGTGTGCATCGATCTACACTTCGGATTCTGACCGGAAAAAGTAGACTATCCGGGTATCTTTGAAACACTTCAACATAGGCTACTACCGTTTGGGACGCACTAATTCTATTTTCGAATACTATTTAGGACGGATAGTATGCGAATTGGGACGCAGCATGCGTCTCAAAAAGCTTAGACAGCTGACTTGTTGCCTCGCTGCCCTATCAGGCAATAACTTTAAAGATACCTCACTAAACTGATGTTACAACAAAACAGAGAGAGCTTGATAAATAAGCAAATATCAGATGAAGGTAGGCTACATAATTTTGGATACATTAGTATATGTCATTACATGCTAAATTATGTTTTGATACCACCCCTTTTGTTATGTAGCGAGGACACTATTTGTCTGCATGTAAATGTTAACATTTGGCTAATAAACCCCTTATTTTCTTAACGTTCAAGTCTGTAGGCTACATTTACAAACGGCTGTGAAAGCGTTTGACCTCAAATTCAAACCAACCAGCAGGAGGTGAATCATAACATTTCCACAACTTTTATTTGAAGTTAATGTGTATTTGAAATTCAAGACAAAAGGACTGTGTTTATTTATGCCCTTTATCGAAGTCTTGATTGTCAAAAAACAAAAACAAACAAAAAAACATGATTTAATAAGGATATTAAGCTCTTCTCTCCCCAGTCTGGTTGATGGCCGCAACGTTTTCAATGAAGCCACTTCTTCCGAAATTCTAAATGTTATTGGCCCAGTGTGTTGTGATTGGCATCGCTCAGCGTGTGCTCGGGAAATGTCCCGCACGAGCTCTACTCAGATGTAAATATTAACAATGGAGTTTTCATTTTTGGCAATTAAATTGGCAATTTTAAAACATTTCGAGCTCGATTCAGACCCTGACAATGTAAACGGGAGGATTGTGCAGAACGGATTTCAAGCACGGATTTCACATGTTTCAGAGTGGTATGGATTTTTTGTAATTTTCTGGAGCATTGTAACAAAAATTCATTTTATGCAAACAAATATTTAAAGTGTAGGGAAACAGACTCATTGGCTGCATCCAATCAATGCAACCTTCGATGTTTGAAGGCAGCATAGATGTATCCTTCACTGCCTTTGCTATCCCACAATCCTATGCTTTGCATTCTGCGACAGTTCAGCTAAAAAAAGAAAATAAACTTGGGATCTGAAGGTTGCATGTGGTCAGTTTATGTAAATGTACATTTCTGATGAACGTTTTCAACTTTTCAACGAGAAAACATCTAGTATATTTGCTGAGTTATCACCAAAGCTTGCTCGCAAATGCTGCCTACAAAGTCATTGCCTGACAGCAAGGAAACAAGTCAAGTCAACTTTTCAGATGCAGCCTATGTCTTCTGGCGCATTTTCCTGATTGGTGGAGATTCTCTGTACAATCATGGATAATGTCGTTTTTCAACAGGAATTCCACTTTTGAACACAGTTATAGAATAAGTTGAAATAATGCAAGCTGATGGCTTAAACAAAAGAATATGAAGAGTTCAGATGCAAAAGCCTCTAAATGCCATTTGAAATTTTCTTCTAGAATGGTCATTTTTATCAAGCTTGTATATTTAAGTTCAGTAATTTCACTTAAATGGCAATTAATAAGTAATCTTCAGTGCCATTTAAGTGAAATTACTGAACTTAAATATACAAGCTTGATAAAAATTATCATTTTAGAAGAAAATTTCAAATGGCACTTAGAGGCTTTTGCATCTGAACTCTTCATATGCCATCAATTAATAGCCTCATAGCTCACAGTATAGGTCTGCCTTTAATGGTTTATTGTTCAAAACCAATTACCCAGAAATCAATGGAGAAAATGAATGGGATTTTTACTTCCTTAACCTCACTGTTTCACTAAAGCATGTACACTTAAAACATCCGCCAGATACCTTTAGCGTACTGTTTATATTCACTATACATTTCGGGGTGCACTAATACTATAATATTTCGAATGGATATGTGAATTGGGAAGCAACGCAGGCCTTCGGCCATTTGTAAAAAGTAAGCCACACTGAAAACGGGTTATTGTTTCTTGTGAGGTGAGGAGAGGGTAAACTCATGTCTCCTGGGCTCAAAATAACAATGTTACTGTCTATTTACGCAGCAGACAGCGGTTTAACACACAACAGAGGTCAGACAGAAGGCAAGACACTCAGTGTAAACAGAAGAAAGTGTCTGTGTTGGACGGAGAATGGAATACTACGTGTTTTTATGTTTCCTATATTTCTTCAGAGCGGTCATGTGGCCAGCGCAATGAAACTTAATGATAATGTGCTGTCCACAAGTTCTTAACAAAGTGTGTGTGTTTGTGTGTGTGTGTTCTACAGCAAAAGCAACCCCAGAACAGAACCAGGACCTTCATACACTCTTAAAAACAGGTTCCAAGAGGGGTTCTCAGCAATAAGAACCATTTTTGTTTCACAAAAGTGAACAGTTCTTAAAATAACCCTTTTTTTTCTTACTGTGAAGAACATTTTTAACGGTTTTCTCCTTAGAAGCTTTTGTGCAATGGGAAGATCCATGGATGTTGAAGTTTCTTCATGAAACCATGTTAATAAAGAACATTTATGTATTAAGAGTGTATGTGCAATTTATGATTTGGCCTCAATTTGATTCTCAATTCATCACAACCTCCAATTTTTAGTGTCATAATACATACATTTCAGTTACAAATACCAGAAAAATGAAACAAATTTCAATACGAAAGATGAACAAAAAAAAGCCATTGAACATATTTTATCGAAGAACTTTAAATAATTTCTAAAAATTCTTACCACTAACTTTATTTAATTGTTTAATTATAAATCGTTCAAACAATTACAAAATAATGATAAAATAATTTCAAGTGAATGTTTTAATTTTCAACTAAATATAGCATCAAAACACATTAGCAAATAATCAGTAATAACGAAGCACAAAGTCTTTTTCTCTTTTTATTTGTAGCTGTTTTTATATTCATTTTGAGCAAGAATTAAGGCTTCATATTTTTATGTTTATGATATTATTCTGAAATAAGGTCATCCAACCAAATTTCAATGAGGTATTTTACTTTATCTTTGCGCCAGGTTAACACACGATTCATTTGCTGCTCATTTTCAAGCTGGCCGATATCACCTCAAGTGCTATAACTAATATGAGTATAAACTCTAAGCTAAAATGCAATGGTAAAAGGAAAAAGAATGAGATCGTAAAAAGGAGGATTCATCTCGGGTTGGTCACGTTAAAAAAAAAGTAATATCCACTATCCTTCCTCCACTGCTTCTGTTTGTCTGGCTCAACCAGACAATGGTGGGAGGAGTTAGTTTAAATAGCCTCTGTCCATAAGGTGGGCTATTTGTAAATAGACACTGCATTTAAATTGCCGCCCATTAGAAAATGCTCCGCAAACTAAACCAGAGCTTCATGTACTGTACGTTCTTCCTCCTACAGCTTCATTCTGTGGATGCAACATTGGCTCATTCATTGGCCGGCTGAAGGTAGGTTTTGGAGAGATGCTGAGGTTCCTGTGCATTCCTTAGAGGGAATGTGGTTTTGAGCTGTGAGTCTCTGTAAACCGCAGCAGCAAACTTACTCATGACTCATTCTTCTGGTTTGACTCATAAGAGAATAAATTGCTCATTCTAACTAAAATATAAAGGCCTGTGACGGGTTTGTTCATTTTCCAGCTAGGGAATTGTTGTTGAAGCTCTGTAATTATATGGGAAGAGTTCCATGGTTAAGGGTGAGACTCCATATAGCATATGATGGCAGTGTGTTCCATAATACACATTTTCCCAATGTAAAATTCACTCTGTCTGGGCATTGAAATCATATGGAATTTAAAATACCCCTGTAAGTCAATAATTTTATCCCTTTAAACTCATCTTTGATCACCAAAATGACATACACTCACCTAAAGGATTATTAGGAACACCTGTTAAATTTCTCATCAATGTAATCTAATCAACCAATCACGTGGCGGTTGGTTCAATGCATTTAGGGGTGTGATCCTGATCAGGACAATCTTCTGAACTCCAAACTAAGTGTCAGAATGGGAAAGAAAGGTGATTTAAGCAATTTTGAGCGTGGCATGGTTGCTGGTGCCAGACGGGCCGGTCTGAGTATTTCACGATCTGCTCAGTTACTGGGATTTTCACGCACAACCATTTCTAGGGTTTACAAAGAATGGTGTGAAAAGGGAAAAACATCCAGTATGCGGCAGTCCTGTGGGCGAAAATGCCTTGTTGATGCTAGAGGTCAGAGGACAATGGGCGGACTGATTCAAGCTGATAGAAGAGCAACTTTGACTGAAATAACCACTCGTTACAACCGAGGTATGCAGAAAAGCATTTGTGAAGCT